TGAGCCACAAGGGAGGCCCTTCTGCAGAATTTTTATTATTTCCTCTATTGATCATTTCACATCCTGGATTTCCATTATTTTCTTATTTAAAACTTCTATTTCAATACTGTGGTCATTAATTTTATTTTTTCAGGGCATTTGTTTGTTTTTCTGCATTTTTTTAATCTATTTGATCATCTTTTTTTTAAACCATTTCTTTGAATTTCTTTATCACAGCAATTTTGAGCACTATCTGATAGGAAGAAAAGATCTTCAATCTTTGTGGTAGGGTTCTGGGAATTTGTTCTTTGTTTGAGGTAAAATATTCTTTGAGGAATCAAGGTGCCATATATTGTATTTTTCTGTCTGCCCAATTTGCTGTTTTTTGGTGTCCTAAGATTGCATTACTTCCATTTTCCCAGCAGATGGTGCTGCAGGGATCTTTTATGGCTTGCAGTTTCAGTACAGATACTGTATCCACCCACATTTTGTTGAATAGAGTTTTATTCCATCCATGTCTCCTCTGTTGTGTTTAGTGTTGGTTTGTTATGTCCAAGAGGTGTTCTAGTTTTGCCCCAAATCACAGAATCTAGATACAGTGTTCTTCTGTATCACTGTAGAATTTTCTCTTGAGAAAATGAGGGGAACCTTCTCTGATGCCATCTTCCCAACTCTTCTTGAGTATGATAATTTATTATGAATTATATTACATAATGTATTACTACTGTTGATTATTTGGGTTATTCTAATTTATTTGAGTATTAGCTCACAATTATTGCACTAAGCTTGCTATATTCCAGGCACAGTGCTATGTGTTTTACTTGGATTCATTTAATACAATAACCTCATGAGTTAGAGGATATGATTTCCACATTTCTGAGAAGCAAGAAAGAGAGTCATCAGGATTAAGCAACTTGCTCAAGATTTGAAGCCAAGCTGTACACATTTGTACTAACGAAAAACAAATTGGTACCTTTTATCACTTTCAGGAAAATTCCTACCTTTAAGGAGGAGTTTCATTTTATTTCTTCAATTTTCAGGAAAATTCCTACTTTTTTTAAAAAAAGATTTATTTTATTAATTTATGCATACAAGAGCTGGGGTGTAGGCCAGAGATGCGGGGGATGAGAGGATTTACCAGAAACAGAGTGGGGAGCAGAATAGGTGGATTGACTGAAATACACAGCTGAGGGGAGCAGCTGGCAAGATATGAGAGGTCTGCTGCACCATGTGGGTCAGCTCCCAGGCCAGGGCAGTGGCTGGCGATAGCTTTATAGTGCTGAGACTTAACCCCTTGCACCTCCAGGGAGGCCCTTGAAAATTCCTAATTTTAAGACATTTGCTGTTATTGTTTGTGACTGTTCTCCACAGGCGTCTAGGATTTTTTCACAAATATTTAAAGAACTTGTGCCATTCAGGATTTTACTTCTCTATACCACTTATTTTAAATTCCTTTTTGGCCTTTGAAGTATGTAATGATGCAGCAGATATCCACATATATGTATTTAAAGGTAATTGAAGAAAGTAAAGTTTAAAATTATGGGACAGACAGACATTTTCTGAAAGTGATGGATATTTATTTTAGGGCTATCATATGCTGAAAAAATACATCTCAAGTGTAGAGCAAATAAATGACTTTATCCTTTCATATTCACTCTTCTTCTGCAGGACTTGACATAATGCATTACAGAACCATGGAAATCTTTGCATTTTGTACCCTCCTTCTCAGATGTTTGACTTAATTCAAATTTAAGCCAAATAAAATGTATCTTGGACTTGCAGGCTGCTGCCACACATTGCAGATAACTGGAAAACCCAGATGAGAGAAACCCAAACAAAGCAGGCCTTCTAAATTTAGCAAGTACCTGACACAATTGAAAATCATAATGACAAAATATCACCTCCTGATTGTAACTTGATTCTCACCTTCTGCAGTCATCAGTACCATCAGGACAAGGGACTGTCCAGTGTTGTAAAGGGCAGTGACATCTGTCTCAAATGGGAGTGTGAATATTTTTTAAATCTTAAACTGCATTCTTATGAAGGGCTAGATACCAACAGTGAATACTAATCTAATGACCTCACTTTAAATTAATGCACAAACCACAGTGTTTAATGCAGCGCTGCTAGCATAGATGGGCAGCATAAACCTGCATAACGATAAAACATTTAACACTCATTATTTTTTTGAAATCTTCCTTTGGATAAGCATTGCCTAGCAGCCATTTTTCATTCTCAAACTAGTCACACTGTGACACTTTAATGGGAAAAGAGACCACCTGGAGTACTTATTAACTTAACAAGCACTTGACTGGAAGTCTAAGAATATTCAATGTTTTTCACTACTTTCATTATGTTTAACTCCAGAGCCTAATGCTATTTTTACTCAAGGGTCTGGAACATGATTACCCCTAGGGGGCGCTATTGCTTCTTTGCTCCCACTCTTGGCAGTTTTAGCGTAGACCTTTTCAGTCCCCCCAGAAGAGAGAAGTCTTCTCTTTCCCAGTGAATCCATCCCTTTTATGCTCCCAGAATCAGCAGGACACATTGGAACAATTTAGAACAAAATGAAATGGCTAGTAAATTAAATGGGCTTATTAAAATGTGTTTAAATATCTCCCTGAGATGGCCTAATGGTTTAATTAGGGTCTGGGATGTGAACAATTTTTGAGGTGCACCCAATGGAAGTGAGAACTAATGGGGACTTGGGAATGTGCAGGAGATGGCAGCACCCTTACACACCCTTCCCCAATATGGCCAAAATCTGCTTCCCCACTCCACCATTGATTCAGTATTGGTTCAGACACCATTTGCTAAAGCATATAACAGTTTGGGGGTTGTTAGAAACAGCAATTCTGGGGTCACATGAATTTGGGAAATTCTGGTTAGAAAAAAGTTTTAAGAAGTTTTTTTTACTGTGAGGACTTTCAGAACAGTGGGCTTAGAATGCACTGTGTGCTGTGCTTTGTGAGTCCAGGGCTGGGCATTTGCTAGGAGTAGACACTTTCACAGTGGTTCTCAATGTGTGTGTGTGTGTGTGTTGCTGGTATTGAGTGTGTAAAGATCAAAGATGTTGCCTAACTTCTTCTAATGCTCAGGGCAGCTCCCTACTACTCTCTCCATCAACAAGGAATGATCTGGCACATCAGTAGTTCAGAGGTTGAGAAACTCTCCTCTATAGTATACTCAGCTTTGTATACTTATTTAACCACAAAATTAGTTATTTTTTTCTTCAAGTGTCTTGTAGCACTTCAAAAAAATAGTGGAAAATATGTGAGAAAACTCTGCCTTAAACTTATTCACCATGTTTTATTTTCAATAGATGTGACCTTCCTTTGACCTCCGCATGACCCTGTTGTTGTTCACTGACTTCCTTGCGATTCTCCTGACTTGGCTTGACATTACATTGTTTTGGTTTTCCTTCTCCTTCTGTAACCTCTCTCTCCTTTTGACTTTTCCTGTTTCCTGGATAGGAACACACCTTTTGGTTTTTTACTTTACTGCACTCAGTCTTGCATGACGTCATGCCAGTAGCTCCAGCTATATTCCTATCCAAGACATTTCTTTCCCCAAAGATGTATATTTCCAGTTATATGTTGGCTGTTGCCTCCAAAATCAAAATATCCCCTCTCCAAAACCATCTCATCCTTCTCAACTTTTTATTTCTCTACTCATTAATTTCTCCTTAAATTCTTCCAGCGTTCTCAGTCAAACTTAAAACCAGCTTTGATCATTCCATCTTGTGAATTCTCTGGTCCTTTATGTCTGTCCCTCCTTAAATGAGACCTTGATTGCACCTTTCTGACTACAGAAATAAATTCCAAATTTTACTTCCTGCTTCCCCTCCTTACCTGTTTCACAGAGTTGGCGCATTATCCCTGCTTCAATAATTCCAAGTCATTTCTTTGATTTTTTTTTTAATTAAAAATTTCCAGTGAAGGAATTCCCTTTGAATTAAGTCTGCATAACATGCTGGTGGTCAGATGCCCATGCTTGACTACACTGGTACCCATTAGAGCCTTTATTCCAATGACTCCTCTGAAATTCCAGACAGAAGATCACTATGCATGTGAGAGCAAAGATGTGGAGGTGGGAGAGCATAAAGCACTTGGGGAAGGAAGTGTTTGTGAATTTTTTAGCATTAAATAATGCCTGGGAATCAAGTTCTAAATTATAGTAGATATGCTTGCATATATGTGACTCATTCTCTGGATAAAGAAAATTCTGTGAGTTAATATGGTTCTGACAGCAAGTAAGGAATGAAATAAAGACTGATATTGCTCAAGGCTTCTATCTATTAAAGCCTATAGAGTATCGTATTAAATATCCTCAGTGATTTTGTTGATTTAGGGTGGACAAATTTACATGTGCATGCAAGCATGAATGAAAAACTACTCTGGCAGGCACTTTGGGAGTCCTATCTATAACTGCTCAACACTCACCTCTCCATGACAAAGACAAATGCCTGCAAATACCTGCAACTCTATTTATTTAGTTATTTATTATTTTAAAGATTTATTTTATTTATTTATGCATACAAGACCTGGGGTATAAGCCAGAGGTGTGGGGAAGGGGGTGAGAGGATGCACCAGAGACAGAGTAGGGAGCAGAACAGGCAGACTGACTGAAATACACTGCTGAGGGGAGCAGCGGGTGAGACAGGAGAGGTCTGCTGCATCATAAGGGTTGGCTTCCTGGCTGGGGATCAAATGCAGTACTGAGACTTAATCCCTTGCGCCACCAGGGAGGCCCAAGGGAATCATAAAAACATCTGCTTAGATTAGTAAATTGAATCAGGAAGGAGGCTTATCCCTTGCCTCACATAGAGACTCCTTTGGTTAAAAAATGACTTAAACATTGAACTGAGTACATTTGCTGCCTCTCTTGATTTATGGATAAGTTTTCTCAGAACTACACTTCCAAACAGTCCCAACTGGCTGTAGCAAAGGTCTGTGTAAATTGATAAGATGCATCTGGCTTCAAGACACAAAGAATAGGGGCAGGCTCTTTGTGTCCCTGGAGAAGCTGGTTGGTGTAGGAGCTGAGTCTCAGTTGCACTTGCTCTATATATGAGTGCCAAGTTCATCCCCAGCAGGGAGAGACAGAGAAGCAGGCTGATTGCTGGGATTTTCTTGCTGTTGAAAAATTCACCACGCACTCAGCAGAAATTTTTCTCCTCTCTTGTACTCTGAATGTTTTCCTAAACATGAAGGTAAGATGATAATTTCATTACTATCCTAAAGGAAGTTATCACAAAGGGGAATGAAACGTAACTAACTGAAAGAAATCAAGTAAGGGGAGGACATAGGAAAATAGAAAAGAAAAAGATCTGGGAGGGACTTAAACATTCCTTCCTTCAATATATTTAACAGTTTAGCCAAAGAGAATTCCTTTTTCTTGTCTTGCAGTGAACTTACTGGTTCAGAGGTCTGGGAATTAGGACTGGAGTGAACATTCATGAAAGACTTGAGGAAGTGATAAAGAAATACAACAGTACTGTTATTTTTTCTGGAAAAATTTCCTTCAGCATAATTTTGTTTGTTTGATTTGGAGTCACACGGTGAACCCTTGCTTGCCCTAACCTCCGACTTGTGATTTGACTTTTCTAAGAGTTTTATAGAAAAGGAATTTAGATCCTTGAAACTTTAGAATTTGGAATCCTACATGAAAGGGTCAGGATTGGGAGAGAAAATATAAGCAGGTGGAATGAAAGTAAAAACTTACTAAGTAACCGTGTTGACTAAGTGTAAAATGGCCAAATGTTAAAAAAAATTACTGTTCAACCAAAGACAAGGCCAAAGATGAAGTCAAAATCATCCATTAGATTTCCGGGTTGCAAAAATAAGTTGAAATTGCTATAATTTTTTATTGCAAATTTTGGTATTAAAGTTAAAAAATTTGCATTATAATGCTGGAGCAACACCTTCTCAACTCTGTCCGTTGCTGTATTGCTTCTGTGATCACTGTGCTGTCCATTTGCGACACTGAATCCATGCTCACTTTTAAATGGAGTTGATGCAGGAAGAAGATATGGTACTTTTAAAAATATTTTTGTTAGCCTCCCTGGTGGCGCAGAGGGTTGAGCGCAGCACTGTGAAGCTGTCTGCAGTCTCTGCAGCACAGGTTCAATCCTGGCCAGCCAGGGAGATAGCCACATGGTGCAGCAGACCTCTCCTGCCTTGTCCACTGCTCCCCTCAGCAGTGTCTTAGGTCTGTCTGCCTGTTCTGCTCCCCGCTCTGAGGAATTCTCTGGTGAAATCTCTCACCCTCCTGCCCCTCTGGCCTGTACCCCAGTTTTTGTATAAATAAATAAATTAAAAAATATTTTTGTTAATTTTTTTCTGTACTTTTTTGCTTATTGACAGAATATTAATTTACCACCCTGTATAGGGTCACATCACATCTGCCCCATAATCACCCATAATCCTCCACCAGAGACTTCTGGGTCCCTGCACCCCTTATCCCCATCCCCAATGGATTACTACTCAACAATGAAAGGAAATGAAATCATGGCATGTGAGACAACATGCATGAAACTGGAGGGGACTATGCTGAGTGAAATAAATCAGGAGAAAGATAAATACTGGAGATCTAGGTCTCGAATAACTCAGGCATTCATGAGTTAAATAATTAAAAATTAAACACAAATTACAATCTTAATTTGTTTTATATTATGCTAGAATATCAAGTAACCCTACAACATTAGAATTAATGTGATATCTATTACTTTGCCTTGTATTTTTTTAAAGATTTATTTTTATTTATTTATGCATACAACAACAGGGGTGTAGGCCAGAGGTGGAGGGGGAGAGGATTCACCAGAGACAGAGTGGGGAGCAGAACAGGCAGATCTACTGAAATACACCGCTCAGGGGAGCAGCAGGCGAGACAGGAGAGGAGACTAACCCCTAGGAGAGGTCTGCTGCACCATGTGGGTAGCTCCCTGGCCAGCCGGGGGATCTACCCTGGCTAGTTGGGGGATTAAACTTGTGCTGCAGTGGCTGTGGATAGCTTCATAGGTTGTATCTTAACCTCTTGCGCCACCAGGGAGGCCCTTATACTAGACTTTTATTTAAAGGCAGTCATCTAGCCTTCTCTGTGGTTCTTTACTCTTTATATTCCCAACTCACAAACCTGACTTGTACAGATGTATTCATTTTCAACTCATTAAAGATATGCAAGCTAAAATAATGCCTTGTTGTTTTCTTCTACCCAGGCAATAAGCTTATTCATCTTGATGGGATTTATAGGAGAATTTGAAATATTTTCAAGGTAAAACATTTTTGGATTGTGTGTAGATATTAATAAAAATTATTTCTTCTATTTTTAGGAAATTATTTAGAATGGTCTAATTTTTTACACTTCAATCTGAGCATGTTTATCCCTCCAACAACACTTTCATCTTTCCACATTTAAAAAAAAAGGCAAAACATGTCTTATTCTTGCTTTTATTTTTATTTTGTTTTCGTCTCTGTTTTCTACTCATCCCAGCACCAAGCTTTTATCTGTAATTCAGAGAATGCTCTAACACATCTTAAGACAGAATGTGCTTTTTAAATATAGTCCTCACAAAGCATTGTTTGGATTTCAAAAGTTGAGTTTTTTAAAGAAAACAATTTTATGGCTCTTGAGACCTAGGAAAAAGCTGTATCATTTATCCATGGCTTGTGACCATTTCACTCTTTGATGGGACAGGATCAGGTCAGTTTATTTTACGAAATTATCAGAATACGTGTCAGGACTTTTACTAGTGACTGGGCACACAAAAAGAAGCAAGACAATTCTGAGAGTCCACTGTGTGATTCTGGTCTTGAAATAGCTCACTTCGGTACAATGTGATACAGGCTCTTTGAGAGGACTGGACAGTGTGAGGGGAGCATGGGGCAGAGTGGCCAAGCAGCTTCCCTCCCTAAGGCATGTTTCCTAAACATGCCTGTTCCTTGAACACAAAATAATGCAAATAGTACAATGCTCAGATTGTCTAAGCATCAAAAATTCTAAGGCAGTTGGACTATTGGTGCCAGATCAAGACTACAGGTTTGTAAATTTGGCTCCAGAAAAGCCCCCGAAGCACATAGGCTACAAAATGGACTTCCTACTTTCAAAAGGCTCAAGATCAGTGTTAATCCCATTAACATAAGATGTCTGCCAGGCGGGTAATGTGCTTGAAAATCAGTAATACACAGTCTTGTTCCTTACCCCTTGTAAGGGTTTCGGGTGGCCCTCCTGAATCTCTTAGGACCAAGTGACATGATGACCTCTTTGACATAACCTGAATCCAGCACTATGTGAGAATCAGCTCTCCATTTTCTGCATATTTTATTTGAGTGGAATCGTTTTGGCACAAATTGTTCCTGTTTGGGTGGAATGAATAGGAGGAACATCTAGAAGTATAGTCCTGTCCATGAAGCCTTTGTCAGTTTGGTTTCCCACTTCTAAGATCTTTTAATGCTTCTTCTCTCAGTTAAGAATTTCTGTATAACTTCAGTTCATCCTTCAAAATTCCTTTTTTTTTTTTTTTTTTTTTTTTATAGAGGCATGCTTTATTTACTTGTTTGCTGGTTTGTTTGCTTGTTTTGTTTACACATGCACTGGGTACAGTCAGAAGCGCGGGAGGGCGAGAGAATTCACCAGAGCCAGAGCGGGGAGCAGAGCAGGCAGAAGGACCGAAGCACACTGCTGAGGGGAGCAGCGGGCGGCAGGAGAGGTCTGCGCGCCATGCGGGACCCTCCTCCGGTGGCCGGGGAGCAGCCGGGGATCGAACCGGCGCCGCAGAGGCCGCGCGCAGCTTCGCAACCCAGCGCTCAACCGCTGCGCCACCGGGGAGGCCCCCTTCAAAATTCCTTTAACAGTCTTAATAACATCCTCCAATATATTTTCTCACATATCCTCCTTTTTCTGAACACACATTTATTTGTATTTCCATTACACATCAGACTGTACATGTTTCTGGTGGTAGGAAATCTATGACATTAAATATGTCGTACTATGGACTATGATTGCATTATTATGATGGTTTGTGATAGCATCACTAGAATATGATTATAGTTTATATGTCTGTGTCTTTACCCTGCCCTCTATTAAACCACAACTCGAAATATCTCAATAGTTCCTGGTATGTTATATATATATATATTTATATATGTTAGTCTCTAAAAAATGTGGTCCAGCTCACATATTTTTTTTATATTTGGGATACTTCTGATACTTTTTAGGAAAAAAATGTGGAGTAATTTTGAACTACATTTTACTATTCTTTGTATTCCTCTCTTTTATTTTTCCACATGCTATATGATGACAATTTGATAGTGCCTCATCTCCAATCAATTGCCAGTGGAATTCCTATGGCCCATGGTCAGAATGCAATGGCTGCACCAAGACTCAGGTGGGATCATGTCAAAACTTTGTGTTTCTTATTTTTTTTTAAAGATTTATTTATTTATACAAGCACTGGGTACAGTCAGAAGCGTGGGAAAGTGAGAGAATTCACCAGAGCCAAAGCAGGGAGCAGAACAGGCAGAAGGACCGAAGTACACTGCTGGGGGGAGCAGCAGGTGGCAGGAGAGGTCTGAGAACCATGCGGGACCCTCACCGGTGGCCGGGGATCGAACTGGTGCTGCAGAGGCTGCGGGCAGCTTCCCAACCCAACGCTCAACCGCTGCGCCACCGGGGAGGCCCTGTGTTTCTTAATTTTTACACAGTAACAGCTTAGTATGGACAAAACAGCATTGGCTTTTGAATGTTATTTTTTAGGTTTCTCGAAAATATAATTAGTAATTTTGAAGGGGAAAAGGTGTAGCTTACTTAACAATTAATGTTGGCATAAAGTAATTTCTGTACTCTTATTTTTCTTGTGGGACTTTTTGAAATCTTACATGTGAGCCTAGAAATATACATGGGATAAAAGTTAAAAGCAATTTACTTTTTTTAATTAGTAGAGAAATAAGAATAACATGAAATGAAGTGGGTAGATAATTCAAAATCTGCTTCATATATCTCCATTTTCCTTCTCCCTTGAAATAAACACTAACAAGTAGCAAAATGACTATTTTGTTTTACCAAACAGATAGTGAGTGATCTTCAAAAGTCAAACATTGTACAGTGTTTTATATTTAATTCCTAAGCAGCATAAATAAAATATAAGACAATATGGAGATTTTAGAGGACTTCTAAAAATACTTGTGATTTTGTGATTCTACTACTTGTGATTCTACTACGTAGAAGAAATCAATATACCATAATTTTGAAAAAAGATACCATAATTTTGGCAATTCTTTTTTTTTTTTTGAAGTTAACCCTACTTAAAATCATACTACACCACCACACAGAAACGCTCTATGGTTGTGGAGAAGAGTGTAGGAAAGAATTAAGGTGTAGGCCAGAGGCGAGGAGGGTGAAAGAATTTACCAGAGACAGAATGGAGAACAGAACAGGAAGATTTATTGAAACACACTGGTAAGAGAAGCAGTAAGTGAGACAGGAGATATCTGTTACCTGGCAACTATTCTTTCAATTTATTTTCTCTCTGTGAGGTTCTAATTTCCGAAAATAGGATTATTTGATCATAGTTTTGCATTTTATTTTAACCTAATATTATACATGAATTTTACACTTTTATTATGTTCTGTCATTTGATTAAACTTATTCTAATTATCCACTTTCCTATTGCTTGACATTTGGGTTATTTACATATTTTATAATCATAAAGTTAACTTTATTTATTTATTTTTTATTTATACAAGAGCCGGGGCACCGGTCAGATGCACGGGAGGGTGAGAGGATTCACCAGAGACAGAGTGGGGAACAGAACAGGCAGACTGATGAAATACACAGCTGAGGGGAGCAGCAGGTGAGACAGGAGAGGTCTGCTTGCCATGTGCGTTGCTCTGAGTCCGGCGGGGATCGAACCGGCACTGCAGAGGCTGCGGACAGCTGCACTGTGCAGCGCTCAACTGCCTGCGCCACTGGGGAGGCCCCATAAAGTTAACTTAAATCAATACTTTTATGCATAGATATCTGTCCTTTTTTCTGATTATTTTCTTAGACTAAATTCTTAGAAATACGTTTCAAATGTTCTGAATATGTGAATGGTTAAATAGTTTAAGGTAGTTCAGCTTAGATAAAAATATATATTTAAAATGATATTTTAAATTATTTCAGTAATAGGACCATATTATAGAAGATAATTTCTATTTTGAAGCATCATGATGATCATCATTAATGCCAAACATTTATTTAGTCTCCATGAACGGTATTTATAAAATGAGCTACACAAATGTGAATGTGGCTTCTGCAAATATAATGAATGAAACTCTTTATTTTTCACATCATTGTTCATTTTTAAACAGTGTTTGCTTTCTCCCCCTACCCCAGTGTGGTCCCCATGATCCCCATAGAGTTTCCTTCCCCAATGCACCCGTGCACCATCACCTCAGTCCCCTGTGCCCCTCCCTCCCTCCTTTTGATCCCTCTCCCTGCTCCTCCCCTGCAGGATGTCTCTGGTTTATAATTGTCCATTTGTTTTTGTTTTGTTTTGTATCATTATTATTCCCCCCCCCCATGTCTTATTTGGTTCCCCTATTGAATGACAACTCTTAATACAAACAGGTACATGAATAACAAGGCGAAAGTCCAACAAACCCCAATCACATGAAAGATTTTTAAAATTTAAAAATAGATTAAGTAAAGGCATTCAACTGAAGTCGATAGAAAAGATTTTTCATTTCAGTGCTTTTTGTCTTTGAGTGAAAGTCATCATGCATCGGCACATGCCTAGATTAACAATCAGAATTTTCATTCAGAAAGAGACAAGTGTGAAAATGAAAGCGGTCATAAGATCAGAATTTGACAGGTGAGAATGAGATTGCAGAGCGTAGTTGGCCATCAAGGTCATCCCCGTGCATGGGAGGGAAAAACACTACTTATACAAGCAACACAATCTGTGCTTTGGGACCTCAGGAAAAAAAAAAAAAACCAAATTAATAATTCACACATGAGAGACATCTGTATCAATGAAAACTGAAGTTAAAAGCTTATCAAAAAATTGTGCTGAGTTCCGTTCCCCACTCCGTTCTCCATGGATCCTCTACTCAGACACAATGGTAGGGCCAAAGTCAGGTCCCTCCTGACTCTGTACTGCTGAGTTCAAATTACATTACCGTGACCTTATGTCCCAAGGAATCACCCCAACTAATCCAATTTAGGGGAGATGAAAATAAATTCAACACTGGTTTATATATAAGGTGCTCCATATTGGCTTTTGCTCAAGGTTTAAAGTCCCAGGAATCTCAATTTTTGTTCTTTCCCATTAATAGGGAAAAGGTGAGCACAGGAAGAGGCTTAAAAGACACTTTTGATCACCACTGGGGAGGAAAAGGATTTTGTAGATCTTTCGGTTTAAACACTAGATACATGTCTTCATATTGATTAAATGAAATTTAGGACAGATGAGTTGTAAATTTCTCATTTGGTTTGATGATTTTCTCAATTTTTCCATACTTTCTTCTCCCCTCCCACTAGAGGTTTTTGCCTTAGATAATTGTCCCAGATCAGAGGTTAGTGATTTTGATAGTCTAAGTGAAATTTTGTTGTAGATACAGCTTCACTTTTGGGGTATTTAGGCTTCTGTGTGGTCAATTTAACCACCATATTAGCATATTTCTCTCTCTGGATTGTTTTTTCTTGCCTTGCCTTCCTGAAGAAGACTTTAAGGTTCAGTGTGTATCAATTGCCAACACTTTTCTAAAGGTTTCTCCAGCTCTTTCTCCATCTTCCTTCCTTGAAACTTTACTCTCTCCCAAGCAAAATCCATTTCATCTTCTCTAATTAGCTATTGTATGCTCTGAGAAAAACATTAGTCATTCTATATTGTTAGTCATTATATTAATCATTCTATATTTGTTTAGGTATCTATAGTTAACTCAGGTTAATTTCTTAAAGATTCACTAAATTTCTTTCATTGTTCACATATATAGAATTAAAAATATGTTGTTGGGAGCACTTGATACATAAAACCCCAAGTTCACTGGACTCAAGGACAAGTGTATCTGTGGGTTCATTGATTTTGGAGGTTTTTTGTTTTTGTTTTTTTAAAGTGATGTTCCGGAAATGGCTTTATTTATTTTTATTTTTAGTTTGTGTGTGTGTAGAAGAACTAGGGTGCAGGCCAGCGATGTGGGGGTGAGAGGATTCACCAGAGACAGAGTGGGGAGCAGAACAGGTGGATTGACTGAACTACACTGCTGGGGGGAGCAGCAGATGAGACAGGAGAGGTCTGCTGTGCCATGTGGGTTAGTTCCCCGGCCAGGGATGGAATTCATGCCCCAGTGGCTGGCCATAGCTTCATAGTGCTGGGACTTTAACCCCTGCTCCACCAGGGAGGCCCCAGAGAAATTTCTTAAACTTTATTTCCCCAAGTATATTAATTTTCCTTGGATTTTATTTCTCATGTAAAGAAAATCTGAGTTACTGAAAAGCACTACCTGTTTTGTATTTAGACTCGCAGGCGGTCAGTCGCTGTTTATGGGCAGTATGGGGGCCATGCTTGTGTTGGAAGTGCTTTTGAAACACAGTCATGTAAACCTGTACGTGGTTGTCCAATAGAAGAAGGATGTGGAGACCGTTTCAGATGTTTTTCAGGTATTTGTTTCTGTATGTCTGGCATAGAGAGTGTGAATTCAAATGCATTTTGGCTATCTTGCTTAGTATTCATTTGTTGAATTTTACTGGATGTATATTGTCTGTACCTTAATTTTACTCAAATATCAGTAGGATTTTTAAAAAGATTTATTGGGCCTCCCTCATGGTGCAGCGGTTGAGCGCTGGGTTGCGAAGCTGCCCGCGGCCTCTGCGGCGCCGGTTCGATCCCCAGCTGCTCCCCGGCCACCGGAGGAGGGTCCCACATGGCGCGCAGACCTCTCCTGCCGCCCACTGCTCCCCTCAGCAGTGTACTTCGGTCCTTCTGCCTGCTCTGCTCCCCGCTCTGGCTCTGGTGAATTCTCTCACCCTCCCGCGCTTCTGACTGTACCCAGTGCTTGTATAAATAAATAAATATATCTAAAAAAAAAAAAAAAAAGAAAAGAAAAAGATTTATTTATGCATACAAGAACTGGGATGTAGACCAGAGGTGCGAGGGTGAGAGGCTTCACCAGAAAGAGTGGGGAGCAGAACCGGCAGATCCACTGAAATACACTGCTGAGTGCAGCAGCGGGATAGGCAGGAGAGGTCTGCCGCACTTTGTGGGTTGCTCCCTGGCTGGGGATCAAACTCGTGCTGCAGTGGCTGGCAATAGGTTGACTGTGCTGTCTTTAACCCCTGTGCCACCAGGGAGGCCCTTATCTGTAGGATTTTTTATTGTACATCAATCACACACTCAGCTATCATTCTCTCAAATGCAAGGCAAGATGTCTGCATTTGAGGGGGGGGGATGGACAGACTGACTTATTTTTCCTATTTGTACCCTCACCATTTTTATTCACATTTGTACCCCAATATCTGGAAGAGTATCTTGCGCAGTAGATATTAAAGAAATGTTGAGGATTTTAACCTTTAGTCTAGTTCCCATGCTCTCAAAGCTTATACATCTAAATCACAAAGGCAGGACTTTTGCCACTTGACCAGTATTATAGAGAAGAAATGGAAAGTTGAAAAAAAAAAATTGAAAGTTGAAGGGCAAGAGGCCATCTGTTTTCCCAGTGGCTTGCATGGTATGAATTTTGGAGGATTCAGATAAGTTGATGATTATGGGTAAGAATCTGGAATTTGAATTTAGGTTCCATTTTGAATTTTGTGTCTAGCTGAGGTCAGAAACAATTTTTTTAAAAAGATTTATTTATTTATGCTTATAAGAGCTGGGGTATAGGCCAGAGTTGTGGGGGGGGGGGTTAGAGGATTCACCAGAGACGGTGTGGAGCAGTACAGATGGATGGACTGAAATATGCTGCTGAAGGGAGCCGCAGACCAGACAGGAGCAGACTGCTGTGCCATGTGGGTAGCTCCCTGGCCAGAGATCAAACTCTGCTGCAGTGGCTGAGGATATTTTCATAGTACTGGGTCTTAACCCCTTGAACCACCAGGTAGGTCCCAGAAACAATTTTGTATATTTCAAAATGAGGGCCAAAATATTCCTTGGACACACTGAGGATTTAGCTCAACCTCACTTTACAGTATCAGTGCAGTGTGGGACCGAGGTGGGAAGGGGAAACCTTTTTGATTCTGAGCACTGTTCCCCTTCTCTAATTTTTGTGTGGTGGCTTTTCTTGAGTTCAGGTCAGTGCATTAGCAAATCTTTGGTTTGCAATGGAGATTCTGACTGTGAAGAAGATAGTGCTGATGAAGACAAATGTGAGGACTTAGAAAGTATTCTTTCCTGTGACATCGACAAACCTCCTCCCAATATAGAACTTACTGGAAATGGGTAAGGTGCTGGGCAGTCTCCCATCCATGTTGATGAGGTATGGTTTTTAATTTTGCTTTGTGTATTTTTTTCTAGTTTGGTAAGTGTAATAACATATCACCTAACAGCCAAATAATTGACTCAGAGTTCCACATCCTGAAACACTTTTTAAGATTCATATCTGCATACCTGCGTGTTTATATGTAATACACATGTTTGTATTTGGTAAAATTTAAAGTGATCAATTGTCCCTGGAATGACAGTTTTGGTATTAAAATTCTTGCATCTAGAGAAACCCCTCAGTCTTGGGGGTGGCTGCCCAATGAGGGGTGTGGTGGTGGGACAGAGAGAGAGAGAGGGGGAGAGAGAGAGAGAGAGAAGGAGAGAAAGACTCAGTTACATGGGTTTAAACTAGCTGGAAATTTTTGTTTCCAAGTGCAGTTGGGAAAATCTTATTTGCCTTTTCAAAGAGAATTCTAAGAAACTTTTAAAGGTCACCTGACCAAAGGTTGTAAGGCTTTAAAATAATATATTTTAAGTGATAGATGTCATTTTTCTATAACATTTTAAAGTTCATTAACAGAGAAATGGTAAAATGACTCTAAAGAGTATACTGCCTGTTGTGCCCAAGATCAGCAGACTCGGCGAGCATAGCCTCCAAGAATCCAAAGACAGCTGATGCAAACGCAAAAGGGAGTTTATTACGGGCTCGAGACCGGGCCTCGACACGCACCGATGCAACGGCAGAGGTCGAGAGCCCCGAACAGAGGAAGCAGGGGTATCTTATTGGGTCGCGAGTGACGCGAACTTTGCAAGAAGCTGGCAATTACTCATTGGCTACTACAAAGGCATTTTGGCGCGCGCGGTTAGTTTCAAACTGATTGGACGGTTAGAGATGCTGTCCCATTTATGGATAGGACTGCCCTCATTGGTGGTCTGCTTTTTCGTCACCAAGTAGAGTGAGGGTTGTGACTGCTGAAACTATCTCCGGAATGCGGCTGGACAAGGACTAACATAGCAAGGTGGAGGATATACAAAATGGCGAAACCTCGGCTAAGCTTGGTTCCACACTGCCCACCTTACTAAGAGACAATTTGAAAATTTAATAAGAGAGCTCTCTGTTTTCAAGAGTGATCTTAATTGCATTGGTTTTATCTATAGATTCTAGTCAAACTAGCTGTTGGCATAGCTGCAAAAGGACTTTGTGTTTCCCCAAAACGTTCATAGCCTGAAATGGTGTTGACTTTTCCCAACACCCTGTTGTAACTTTCCCAGACAGGGGAAGTTGGATAATGTATGGTGTGCGTTATGATGCTGTTCTCTTTATCTGAACATTCTTAAAGAGATGCCTAACTAATGCATTTGAAAACTTTCTAGAGTTCTCTAATGATGCCTTTTTCAGCAAGTGCTAGTTCTGGTTTTTAACTGCCTTTTGTTCTTCCCTTATTCCATTTTTAAAAAACAGTTACAATGCACTCACTGGCAAGTTCAGGAGCAGAGTCATCAACACTAAAAGCTTTGGTGGTCAATGCAGAAAGGTGTTTAGTGGGGATGGAAAACACTTCTACAGACTGAGTGGAAATATCCTCTCCTACACATTTCAGGTACCTTATTACACTCATCTGATTTATTTCTAACCTGCGAATTATTTCCAGCAATTATTTATATGATATTGATTTTTTTATTATTTGTTGAACATTTTCTTGTTGCCTGAATGTGGGTAAATCTTATAAATGTTTTACATGGTCTTAAAATGTACACTCATTTTTTAACCCTGAAGTACTGATAATAATGCTTTCAGACTTGTGTCATTGAAGTGGAAATATCTTTATGCCTCAATTTCAACTCCATCTTCCAAGTGGGCCCAGAACTTGTGAGCGGTAAAACTCAAGGCCCTGGCTGTGGCCGGTCACAATCATCTTCCCACAGCCAGTGTGACTTCACTTAAAAAAGCATTTCTAATTGGGCCTCCCCTGGTGGTGCAGCGGTTGAGCGCTGGGTTGCGAGGCTGCCTGCAGCCTCTGCAGGGCCAGTTTGATCCCTGGCGTGAGGCGAGGGTCCCACATGGCGTGCAGACCTCTCCTGCCACCCGCTGCTCCCCTCAGCAGTGTACTTTGTCAGTTTGCCTGCTCTGTTCCCTGCTCTGGCTCTGGTGAGTTCTCTCACCCTCCCGCGCTTCTGACTGTACCCAGGGCTTGTGTGAATAAATAAATAAATCTAAAAAAAAAAAAAAAAGACAGTCTAAAAAAAAGGCATTTCTAATTGATGGTGGTAAGATGATTTCCACTTGTGAAATATTTCATGCTCACAAGTATGTGAATAGCATAGACATATGGTTTTGATGAAAATAAAGCAAACATTTATATATGCTCTTCACCTCAACATTAAGATGGAGGACACTGCCAGTGACTGGTAAGGCTCCATCTAACCCACTCTGATCACATCTCTCCCCCACTCCCCAGGAAAACAGGATCTTATATTTTTGTATTAATTATTTCCTTTTTTTGGGGTAAAGATTTATTTATTTATGCATACAAGAACTGGGGTACAGGCCAGAGGTGTGGGGGGATGAGAGGATCACCAGAGACAGAGTGGGGAACAGAACAGGCAGACTGACTGAAATACACTGCTGAGGGAAGCAGCAGACGAGACAGGAGAGGTCTGCTACGCCATGTGGGTGGCTCCCTGGCCAGGGATCGAACTCATGCTGCAGAGGCTGCGGATAGCTCCATAGGTTGCGTCTTAACCCCTGCACCACCAGGGAGGCCCAATTAGATAAAGTTTATCTTGGATAAACTTTGATTGTATCATTAATTTATGCCCCACTGGTGTAGTTTGTGTTCCACTCCTTGCCAATAATCAGTGTTGCCTGACTTCTAAATTTTGCTTGTGGTCTCAAGGTGTCCTCTGACTCCTGGCTTCTGCTTCTTGCATGCTATTTCATCTTATACTTCTAAACTCATCCTGTTCCCTGATTTCCACATAAAATGTATTACTATGAAATGTGCTAAACTTAGGGGATGTTCCTAAAGATTTAGAGAAATATAAAGGAGAGGGAGAGATTTTTTTGTGGCAGTGGTGCAAAAGCATTCAACAAAACAGTTGGCATTTTCATCTTAAAACATTGTCTTTCCACAGCTTCAACAAAATGAAATTTCTAGTTTCATCCTATTTCAGTGTGTTTTGCTCTCCTCTTCCAAGATCTTTCCTCCCTTCTTTCCAGAACTCTCAAAATTTCCAGTTCACCGCTCCTCATTTATTACTCCCAAATTTATAAACCAAAACTATTTGGTTCAGACAGAAGAAACTTTTGTTTCCCAAAACTAACCCTCTCCAGAGAGCAGCTTTGATTATAAATGGCAAATTCACCATCTTCTAATTTACAATAAAACAAGTTATATTTAAGAATTCTTGAATTATGAGAATGCAAAGAGAAATTTATCTTAAAAATAATTGTAGTCATCAATTTTTTGAATGTCTACTGTGCATCTGCTCTATTTTAAGCAATTTGTATAGGTTTAATCCTCACAATATATTTGAAAGGTAAGTAGTATTTTACTATCTCATACATGTAGAAGTCAAAGATTTTAGCTGATTTGCTCCAAGACAGCAAGTCAATTAATGGTAGAGTTTGGAGCAGTTAGACTTCACTGTCTTTATTTTTCCACTCTATTTACAATATATTTTACAATATATTGTTTTAACTTGTTCTAAATTCTATATGGTGAATAATATGGTCATAATTTAACCTTTGGTCAGAAGGGAGGATATGAGCTAGACATCTAGAGATATTTCCCCCCCTCCTATTTGTAGGAGAATGTGTTGATAATTCCTTCATAATTACAAGGGTAAGAATTGCAGATAAAAATTTTGGGGGGGTCAAATTTAGGAAGTTAAAGAACAGAGAAAATAATAAGGAAGAGAATTTCTGATGTAGTTGGAAGATAGACCTGCTGTAAATCTGCAACTTCTGAAGAAGGAAAATTTAATAACAGCATCATCCTGATATTCATTATCTGCAGCTTGGCTTAGTTTTTGAATTGACATCTGAAATGCCTTTCCAGTTATCAAACCTGAAGGTGTTTGTGGATGTTAAGGAAAATTATAGCTTGTTACTGAATGAAGGACAGAGATGTTTTGAAGATCCAACGTGAGGGAAGCAAGGTGGAAGAATAGGCAGTGAGTCAATCATTGAAGTGCTAAATCCTGATGCAGATATAGATGTGGAGAATATCCTCCCTAGCCCATACACGCTGACCTAGGACCACTGGGGATTCAGCTATCTATGTGGTAAAAGGTGACTCTTGACTTGTTGGAATATAAACATTAATGAACACAAAACAGAATCAATGTTCCTTAAAGTCACAGGTTTGTTTATCAAAATTGTCATTTGTTCATGGCAAAGCTAGCTTCTTACTGAGTAAGTTACTTACTTTGATACCATGTGAATTTTCTGTTTTTGGATATTTTTCATCCACCAGAAAACTTTGTAACATAAGCACATTCCTGCTCCCTGGGGGCTTTGGGATGGTGCACTTGGCTAAAAGACAGTTGTGTTTATTTTCAACATGTAATGAGTTGCAGATGGGAGTGAATAAAGATTAGGGTAGAGAAAAATGAGTAACTTCCTGAAGCCTCCTATATTTGATTTCGAAGACACTTCATTATATATTTTGAAGAGAGACTCTATGTGCACATCAAATGAGTAACACAAATATATCCGAAAGGCAATTTTAACGAATGCTTAGTTATCTGTGTCTCAGATGCCTCTGTTGGTATGAGTCCAAATATTTGAGATTTCGAAGTTTACTTTGTTTATCAGGAATAGCTTGAATCAGTGATCAAAAGAGCTAACATATATTAAGAGGCCTTTATATACTAAGCTCTGTTTCAAGTGAATTAAACAGATATTTGTTTTTCTTGTAATAACCCAAGAAGGTTACTATCATCTCTATTTTATAGTTGAAAAACTATAACAAATAAATGTTAAATACCCACCTTCATAAAGGTAGTGGATGACAAACATGGCATCAGAACCCTAGAAGTGTGACTATAGAGCTCTTATAGTCCACTAGACTTGGGCAGAAAATTAGAATATGTATAATTACTGACAAGAATGAGCCCAGTAGGGGAAGAAAAATTGAAGCTACAAGAGAGGGAACAGTCAATCAACTTAATACGTCCTTTGAATAGGGTGTCCTTTTTTAGAAAAAGTGTGTGTGCTCACTTCATCTCCCTTATTTCTACTAGATGCTTCCATATTAATATTACTTGTCAGCTTTCTGAGGATATTTTATGTTAACTCTTGATCTATGATAAACTAAAGGATAAACAACATTATTGTCTCTTCCCTGAATGCTAAAGTCATCACTTCCCAATTAACCACATATGACAATTCTGTTGTCTGTTTTAACATTCTTTTGGGATGACTTTTTCGTCATCATTTAGCAGAGGAACAAATTCAAGTTTTAGCATTTGTTCATGTCAAAAAAAATTAGAAAGTTAAACCCACTGTTGGATCATCTGGAACATTCTAAAGAAAAATCTACACTATCCAGTTGCTTCATCATCTTTATATCACCATCATCTGCTGTCCTTTGTTACATAAATGTAAGGGCCAAGTTGTTTGTAGTTTTCTGTCAGTGTATCTTTGTTAATTTGCTCACTTCTGAGCTAAATATTGGCATTAAAGCAAAATGGAAGATATTTGTATTAAATGTATTTTGTGAATCATCTGGGATTGCTTTACTGATTCCATGTCACCTGTTCAATAAAGAATAACTTTTAAATTAATTCTTTTTTACTCACATAGGCCTGGTCTTAAAAATTCATAACTGTTTTGTGTCAATAAAAAGCTTTTTTTTTTTAAAAAATAAAGTATCTTTTCTAAAAGATCTGTGACAAGATTCTTTGTTATATTGAAGGTCTTAATTTGGTCATAGTACAATATTTCATTTTCTTTGTAGGTGAAAATAAATAATGATTTTAATTATGAATTTTACAACAGTAGTTGGTCTTATGTAAAGCAAACATCGACAGATTATAGTTCATCTAGAAGCAAAAGCTCCCTTTTTAGTTCTTCACACTCTTCTTCAAAGAGTCATACTTCAAATACCAATGAAATCCATAAAACAAAGGTTAGTATGAAATATTAATTCACTTTCCCATATTTACTGGTTTAAGTATGTTTAACTTTAGCAAAAAGGTATTCACCAAAAGGATCAATTCTTATTTTTTAAAATTAAGGCAATAGTATCTTATATTTTTTCAAAGCATAGTTCTTTTTGATAGTATTTTTATATTTTCAATTCTCATTAAAGTATTTTTATTTGAAAATCTAGTTAAAACTGTTCTAAATTTCTAATTCATGATTGCTAATGCTACTATTTTAAAAATTATATGTAATTAAAAAATCCAATTAACATGTGCTTCCAAAACACTAACATTAAACTCTTTTTTTAGAAGGTATATGAAACTTACTTCCTTTGATTGCATAGTTATAAATCAGAAAAAAACTTGATTGTCTCTTAATTGCTGTATTATGCTATTAATAATTTATCTAAAAAAATAAGTTACATGAAATGAAAAGATTTTAAAGTATTTTATTACTTTTGAGATCCCATATCTTCATCTGAAGAAGGTAAACTTATTTTTAGATACTTGGTTGTTTTGAAAACTAAAACTTTCATCGTAGGCAAACTGAACATCATTCACCATCCTCATATCCTTGTCTCATTCCCAAAGCCAGTAACTTGATTAATAAATCACACAAGGGAGGTATAAAGAATATTGGTTTTATTTCTTTTATGACTAAGAAGCTGAATATGAAAATGTAAGCTGTGAAAACATTTGTTGTTACCATATTATATTGTTCACATAAATGAAGATTTGGTATGAGATAGATATAGGTTTTGGACATCATTAAAATATGCTTAAGAAATTTTTAAAAGACCTCATTGTAATGTGGTTTAAGTTGTAAATATTCCAGTATAGGAGATATATGGCCACCCTACCTATAAATCAGACTCAGATGAGGATCGCAGGGTCACATTATTTCATATACTAATTGTGACATTATTTAATTCATGAAGTTGATTCTTTTTTTCTAGTTGGAGGGCATAGCGACTTAGTTTTGACGAGATTGAATGCGTTCAGGGTTATAAGGCCATAGATCTTGGTTTTGAAATTTAAAAGGCATATGTAAAAGAAATTCCCATGACATCACTCAGATATTATTACTATTCGAAATTCCAAAAATGCCTTAGATTGTGTCAAGTGGCTAGTAAGCTCAGAAGAGACTTTATCATACAACAAAATTTTTTCATTTTAACATTTTTAAAATTAATGAATTAATTTAAACAATTTTAATTAAATGAATTTTTTTAATTAACTAATTTTTTTTTTCATTTAAAAAACTCATGTATTGCCAGCTGATTGGAGGTGGCAGTTGATGGAAATGTTGGCTAGGGAATTATTTTCATTGTCTTTTTATATGCAACCTCAAATTCCCTTTCCTTTTTCTTTTTTCCAGAGTTATCAATTGTTGGTTGTTCAGAACAATGTTGAAGTGGCTCAGTTTAGGAATAACAATCCGGAACTTTTGCAACTTGCTGAGCCATTCTGGAAGGAGCTCTCCTACCTTCCCTCTCTATATGACTATAGTGCCTACCGAAGATTAATTGACCAGTATGGGACACATTATCTGCAGTCTGGGTCCTTAGGAGGAGAATACAAAGTTCTATTTTATCTGGACTCAGAAAAACTCAAACAACATGGTAGAGTATCAAAAAATTATTATATGGAAGCACTGTAGGGATTTTAATGGGGAAAACATGCAGTTAACTTAAACTTTAGAACTTTAAAATATGAAAAGTAGAGATTAAACTGCAAAGGAGTACAATATTGCAAGAATCCGCTATATACACTATGCAAAATCTCACAAGCTAGCCTGCTGTTTTAGGTCGGACCCAGGAATGTGAGTTAAGCCACTGTCATTACTGATTACCTCCAGAGAGTGTTGATTGGATCGTAGAATACATTTTTTTAAAAAGATTTATCCATTTATGCATACAAGAGCTGGGGTACAGGACAGAAGTATGGGGATTCACCAGAGACAGAGTGGGGAACAGAGCAGGCAGATTGACCGTACACTGCTGAGGGGAGCAGCGGGCGAGTCAGGAGAGGTCTGCTGCGCCATGTGGGTAGCTCCTTGGCCCGGGATCGAACTCATGCTGTCGTGGCTGTGGATAGCTTCATAGGTTGCATCTTAACCCCTTGTGCCATCAGGGAGGCCCTGGATTTTAGAATACTTTTAAACTTTTCCTTTTTCTTACATTAAATAATGTTTATTGAGGAAAACTAATGAAGAATTTATTGATACAGAAGAAATTAAAATTTTTAAAAAGAAGTATTTTATTTACCTTTGTTCTTTACTAGTCTACTCCTTTACTACTCAAACTCTCAACCTTGATGCCCACACTTTCTTCTGTATTCCAAATCACCTATTCAGCTTGTTTCTTTTCAGTCAAGACTCCTTACAAATCTGGAGAGGTTCTGATATGAAATTCAGGGGAGATTTTGTAGTCTTTTGGGTAAACTTTTGTGTTAATATACACCTGTTTCCCTTGGTTAATTTTTCCATTGGGGTTAATTTTCACCAATAAGAATTGATGAAATTTGAACATTTTGAACATCACGGGTTGGAAATAAATGCACACGTACAGGTTTTTATGGCAACACCAGAAGCAATATTTCTTTGGGAAATCAATTTAGCAAGTGACTTGATCTAAACTCAGTTTAACTGCCCTTTATAAAAAATTTTAGCACTTAAAAGAAATGGACAGGACATTTTAAAGCTTTTCAAGTTGGTAGGAGTATTTTTTGTGTAAATCTTTTATGCTAGAGCAGTTCTGTTCTTCCTAAAAATTTTTAATTTAAATAAAATTAGGTTAAAGCTTCTGGGATGTAAGGTTTCTTTAAGAAACATTGAGAGTGTTAAAATATAGCTAGTAAAATTATTTGAAAAAATATATTTTCATATCTCCTTTTTAAAAATGCATGGCTAAATTCCGTTTGATAATGAGTAGAGGCTATCACCGTAGAAGGGTATGAGTCATATAACGGAAATGTTAGGAACCAGAGAGGTGTTAAAGCTGAGGAGATTGAAGCAGTAGAACAAGTGTTTTAAGAATAAGTTACAGTAGAACAAGAACCTAGATTTTGGGGTTTCCAGTAGGTAGTCTGGAGGCCACTACACTCCTACTTTTAATTGTTTGCTTTATGTCTGAGAAGCTGACTGCCTCTGGCTGAAAGATATCACTCTTTAAGATGTTCAATTTCTTCTTCCTCCACTGTCTCCTGTGGAACTCTCCTCTCTTCCTCTCTGGCCAAAGCTAAAAGATGCTTAAATTAGCTGAACCATTTGTTCCAACCCTAAATTTTTACTTTACGCTTATTATCTATTATTTTACTCAGTAACAAAAATGCAATATCCCTTTTTCTGATCCCTGATACTTCCAGGGCACCTGAAAGTGTATGCATCATATGACTCTTGATTAGATTGCCACAGCAGTAGAGAGCAGCCTCTTATACCCACTCTCACACCTGACTGTCTTGAAGGAGTTCTTCCACAAATGTGGAAATTAAGCACCTTATAATTTTTCCTCCAGGTCTCAGTTCAATAGATGAGCAGAAATGTGATTCTTCAAGTTTCGATTTTTTTATTGTTTCATCCTCAAGCCAATCATGTGGGGATCTGAAAGATGCCTTAAAATCCACTTCAGGTAAATGAGAACAGTGTGTGTGGGGGAGGGTGGGGGATGTGTGGGGGAGGGAGAGGGTCACTCTCTATTATAAGCTTCTTGTCCATCCTCGTCTGATTAATGCCTGGCCTTGAAGAACTTCATGGATATTCTATTTTGTGTCTTTGATATATTTGTGGGGTTTTGTTGGTTTTTTTTTTTTTCCTCTGATCTCTCTTTCATATGCCATGGCAGTGAGACATCATGCAGTGTGGAAGTTTGCTGGGTGTCTCCTGTGTAATATAAATATGTCCTCCATGACATTTATATTACAGACTTCCTCCCCTGTGAATAAGCTTGCCAAACAAGCCTAGGAAAGTGACACTAAAAGGTGAAAGCTCAGGGACACCCTATGACATGGAGGCTTAGTGCACTTTAAAGCTTTTGAGTATGTTGGTGGTGCTAGAGAGGATAGGAAAGGCGTTGTGCTGTCTTTGAGTGACTGAAGAAGGGATTGGAAGGATAAGCTGATTTAGTTTTTTCTGCAATGCCATGTAAAGGAGTTAGAATTTCTTCCTGATGACAAGCGATGCTATTAAAGGATTTAACACAGAGAGTGATGAAATGAAAAATTGCACAGGTAAAGTTGGGCAGAAAAAAGAGGGAATGAAAAGGAATAATCTAATAGGATAAGAACCAGAAAAATCAGTAACGTGGAAAATAATGAGGAGGAGAAATCAACATAGAGAAATGCCAGGGGAAAGTTAAGAGGAGGACAGTCTCTTGATTGGATTTTAAGACTTAAATGCCTTAAAATGAAGAGATTCTTATTGTGGTAGGAAGGGAAGCCATATTGCAATGCATAGCAGGAGGCCATGGGTAAAGTATTAGAGCTAAAGTTCTCCCGGATGGTGGACTAGGATGGAGGATGGTTGGTGCTTTGGTGGTGGGTGTGGTGTGGTAACATACATCTAAAGAGGTGTGAACCTATACACCTAAATCATATACACTGTTATAAAACAATGTGACCTGAAATGTATAATAAAAAGATGAAATTGAAAAAAAAGTTCTCCTGGGTGACAGCTGAAATTGGGATGAAGGTGAATACTGACTTGAGGAGATGGGGATTTGGAGAACATTAGTAGATGAATGCAGGAAGGAAGAAGAGAGGGTAGTAAAATCAGGTCGCGTTACTTGTTCACCTATTTTACTCATCAACTATTTATGGGGCCATTAGTATGTGTCAGGAATTGTTCTAAGCACTGGGGATACAGCAGTGAATATCCTAGAGACAGTGTCTGTTTTCACGGAGCTCACATGAAAGGAAGAGGAAAAATTTTGCATAAGATGGAAATATAATGATCTGGAAACATATGTGGAGGTGGGAGCTTTGGGAAGAAGTTGACATCAGTTGTCAACTGAGCTGTCGACTGGGAGGTGTTTACTGATTTTATTTTGTATTTAACAAATACATAGCACTTGCCATATATCCAGGACTATTGTGAGTGATTTACAAAAATTAATCAGTATACTCCCCCAACCAAAGAGTTAGATATTATTTATATTCCCATTTTGTAGGCAGGGACATTGAGGTTGCCCAAGATCACACATAACCAGATCACACAGGCACCAGATTCAAATCTGCCTTCACTGTCTGGGCTCTTCACTGTCGCATCAGGCTGATTGTCTCAGGGAAGAGGCCTCCCAGGGTGTGGGAAAGAGCAATCCCAGGGTGTGGGGAGGGAGGCTACGGATCTAGAAAGCAATATAAAAATGGATATATTAGAACTTTTTTTTTTATTAACAGGTATGCCACTTAAGGCAAGGATTTCCTTTTTTAAAAAGATTTATTTTATTCATTTATGCATACAAGAACTGGGATGTAGGCCAGGGGTGAGGGCGTGAGAGGACTCACCAGAGACAGGGTGGGGAGCAGAACAGGCAGTTTTACTGAAATACACTGCTGAGGGGAGCGACTTAACCCCTAGGCCACCAGGGAGGATCCACTTAAGGTTAAGGATTTTCAAACTTTTGTAGGCATGAGAATTACCTCGGGGAACCTGCTGAAATGCTGGTTTCAAGGCTTATTCTCTTGCAGATCTTAATTGGGGCCCAGAAATCTGTATTCACTCCAGGTGATTCTGATTCACATAGTGAAGGGACTGAACTTTGTGGTATAGTGCATTGAAAGGGCGACTATTTGTTTTTGTTTTTTTTTTTAAAGATTTATTTATTTATACAAGTACTGGGTACAGTGAAGCGTGGGAGGGTGAGAGAATTCACCAGAGCCAGAACGGGGAGCAGAACAGGCAGACTGATGAAATACGCTGCTGAGGGGAGCAGCAGGCGGCAGGAGAGGTCTGCGTGCCATGTGGGACCCTCACCCGCAGCCGGGGATTGAACTGGTGCTGCCCAGGCTGTGGGCAGCTTCGCAACCCAGCGCTCAACCACTATGCCACGGGGGAGGCCCCAGGGCGACTATTTGTATATTAAAAACATAACTAATAATGAGGATGAGAAAGCATGCAGGCCACTTACTATTTAAAAATCAGGTTTTAATAATTTCTGATAACAAAAGTACAATTTTAAAATTTTATGTACTTGTTATGAAATTATAAAAAATTTTTTGAAAAGCAATTGAAAATCATCCCAAATCTAATCTGCAAATTAGAAATTTCTAGCATGTCCTGTGTAAAAATCAATTACAGATGGAGATAAAAATATTAAGAGGCACATAAATGCATAAAAGGATTCAAGTAGTATTCAAACTTTTTAGAACATTTTTGATGTGTTAATGTATGCGTGCACATTAATAGGGTTTTTTGGTTTATTGTTAGTATTCCAGGTGCAATGTACTATTTTTCCTCCAACATTTTATTTTGAAAATTTTCAAATATAAGGAAAAAAGATAGAACATAGTATTAAACACTCAACACTTACTTTATAAATGTAACAATTACTATTTTGCTATTTTCCTATATATACTTACATGTAATATTCACTAGCAATTATAAATATTACATCATGTATCTTCTATGAAGCAAGACATTTCCATTTGTAGCACAATCCTCACTACACCAAGAACATGAATACGATGAAGAATAATTCCCTAATGATTGTATTTTTCTTTTAATAGAAATGCTTTTAGGTTCACAGCACCATCAAACAAAAAGCACAAAGTTCCCATATACTTTGGTCCCACATAGGCAGCCTCTTCCACGATCCGCATCTAGTGCCATGGTGGTAATTTGCTTATAATTGACGAACATACACTGACACATTATTCTCACTCACAGTGCCTAGTCTATTATTATTTTTTAAATATTTTATTTATTTATTATTGCATAGAAGAACTGGGGTATAGGCCAGAGTTGTGGCGGGGGTGGGGGGGGCCCTGAAAGGATTTACCAGAGACAGAGTGGGGAGAAGAACAGGCGGATTGACTGTAATACATTGCTAAGGGGAGCAGCGGGCAAGACAGGAGAGGGCCGTGTGGGTCGGCTCTTTAGCCAGGACAGAACCCAGGAGGGCCATAACAATGGTTGTGCTGAGATTTAACCCCTAAGCCACCAGGAAGGCCCCACAGTCCCTACTTTATATTGAGGTTTACTCTTCGTGTTGTATGTTCTAGGGATTTGGACAAATGTTTAATGACATTATCATACAAAGCATGAGAACAGCTTCACTGCCCTCAAAATCTTTTATGCTTTACTAATTCATTCCACGCCCACCCTGGCAATCACTGGTCTTCTTACTGCCTCCATAATTTTACTTTTTTCAGAGTGTTGTACAGCTGGATGTTTATGTTTAACGCTTTGTAGACTTTTTGCTTTTATATTCTCACTTTGATTTTGTTTGTGCATTTGACTTTTTCATTTGATTTTTTCCTTGTGTAGGAACTCAGAACAATGTGTTGCGAGGACACCCTTTTGTCAGTGGGGGACGTGCAGACTTAGTGTCTGGTCTGAGTTACTTGGATTTGAACAATCCTGCTGGAAACAGACAGCGATATTCTTCGTGGGCAAGATCTGTGACTGATCTTCCTCAAGTCATAAAACAAAAAGTAAGTGGTGCTCTCTTTCAGGCAGCAGAAGGCAGTTGTGTTTATTTGCATTGGGAAAATGTGATTAAATCAAGGTGGTTAAACAGAGAAGGCTGTAATTAGCATTTTTTGTATCCCAATTATGTTTTGTATGGTAAAATGAATGCATATAATAATAATAAGAAACAGAGATTCATTATGTTGTATGTCCATATTTTAGTTGTAAAGGTTAAATGTCTTATAATTCCTAAGAGAAATTAATGACAAAATTTGCCTATTAATAGACAAAAACATAATTTGATTGTTTTCTTTGGCTCCTAATTCAGAGTTACCAGTTCTTGCAAGAGGAATGTATTCAGGCATACCTGCTGCTACATCTGACAGGTCACCTTTATTCCGGTGCTCTGGCTTGTAGACTCCTAGATTCATGTAAATGAAGATAGAACCAATTTGGCTGAAAGAATTTTAGGATGTTTTATACAGTCAGTTTTTGTAGTACAACATATGTGTTCCTAAAGATAGGAGAGTTAGGTGGGATTGCATAGTAAGTCCACAGTGCTTATGGAAACAGTGGAGTTAGTGATACAACACTCTAAAACCTGATCTATTAGAGCCATTAAAAAAAAAAAGGGATAGGCACCCATAAAAACAACAGCACAGCTTTCTAGAGGCTAAATCGTTAAGAAATGTATACATACTACAATAAATGTAGCACAGTTCCTAGAGAAGCAACATAAAACTTGCTGGGTGGTAGTAGGGTTATGGCTTGTGAACTATTGTGAAGTAAGAAGAAGAGAACAATCAGAAATGACAGGCAATTGTAACACCAGAGGGAATGGGTGTAGTTTATTACACAGGCAGTGAACTAGGTGGATGTTTGAGGTGGGTGCCTGGTGTGTGTTTTCTGCATCTCTAAGCAGCTTGGTTCGGCACTGTCCACTTTTCTGTATTCACCTGGTGTTTCCTGTGGGTGAAGTTCTACATATAAGAAAACATAAAATTTGCAATGTGCTCATATTGTTCCCTAATATTCAAGTCAATGAAATAAATTCATATTTTCAAAACAAATGCTACAGCAGAACTGATTCTAAGATCTATTCCCTGCTGTGGGAGCCAAGCAGTGTGCCAGGTGAAACTTGACTTTCAGAGATTAAGAAACAGGAACATATAGCATACTCTCAAAATTTACAATAACTTAAGTATCCTCCTAATACCATATAGCACCCACTTTTCTCCAATTAAGGGGCAGAGCAGAGAGGTGGTTTTTCCTGGGCAATCTTGAAGTGTTATTACCCATTAATATTCAAAGAGGCCTATTTTCATAGTTAGTATCCCATTTAAGTCCTTAAAAATCCTAAGTCATTGATTACAGAACACCAGACATTTCATTCTCAACTATGTACTTTCCCATATAGGACTGTAAGTGTTGTAGCTGTACTCAGTTGATAAGAGGGGCTGGGAAGGAACAGAGACAAAAAAGGATACTGTACAGGTACACCTGCAATGCCACCCGGTTTAGAAGTATGTGGGCAGAGATAGAGAGAAATGGACAGACGCTCTGATTTCATCTCCATCCTCCTGGTAGAGTGCTGCTAGCAGCCAGTTCCCAATGATTTTCTCAAAAGCCAGCTTTTCCTGACTTTGGGCTCAGTGACGACATGGCGGTAGCCTGAAATAACCATGGAGAGAGTAGTTAAAGTGCAGAAATGGACAATTGCTACACATCAGAGACATTTTGTTCCCAGGGAGCAGGTTGTTAAAGCTTAACCAGCGCATCTGTGGTCCTGAAGTTGCTTTTCTTTGGACATATCCAACACTGAGCAATAATGCCTACCTGTTTTAAATTTCTCCAGGGAGAGAGAGTCCTGGTCTCCACTACAGAGTCTTATAACATCTCTCAGAGTCAGGAAATTTAATCTTAAATCTAATTGTACTTGCTCCATTGCTGTGATTTAAGTGCATTTCCTTTCCTCTGTGCTCTGCTGGGGTAGAAATGTATTGTCTTTAAAATAATCTCTCAATAACTGGAAAATGAATATCCTATTGGTTTTTCGATTTTTATGCATGCACACAAACTATAAAAAATATGGTCCTAATTTTCTCTCGGTTTATTTTGCAAAGAAAGTGAATTGCTTTTTCTTTTTATTTGAGCAAGAAACAATTGGAATTAACATGAGTAGCTTTTGATTTTCTTTTCATGGGGATTGAGCCTAAACACAAATAGAAGAGTATTCTCACCTAAATCTCTCATTAGTGTCTGTGATGTCTTTGTCTTTCTAGCTGGCACCTTTGTATGAGCTAGTAAAGGAGGTGCCCTGTGCCTCCGTGAAAAGGCTGTACCTAAAACGGGCTCTTGAGGAGTATTTGGATGAATATGATCCGTGCCACTGCCAACCTTGTCAAAATGGTGGCATGGTCATCGTTGAGGGGACCCAGTGCCAGTGCCATTGTAAGCCATACACATTTGGGGTGGCCTGTGAAAAAGGAGTCCTTGTGGGGGATCAAGCAGGTGAGTGTGCTGTATTTTCTCTTGTTACTCTGGACACAAGGAGATGGGAATTATTCTCCCCCTCCGGTTTCTTTGATGGAGAGGCGAAAGTCTCTTTAGGCATTTGAAGTTAGTATCTCTCTTCCTATTCTACCCCTGGATTATAGCTACAGGGATCACAGGCCCACGGCTGTCTCTCTTTTCCCGTGTGAATTAATAGATCCACTTAGCATCTGTCCATATTCCCTATTAGAGTTGTTTTCTGCCTCAAATAGCTCTGTCCATCTATAGTCCTTTCATTTTTTTTTTTTAAAGACTTATTTATTTATGCATACAAGAGCTGGGGTACAGGCCAGAGATGAGTGTGTGGATGTGTGTGTGTGGATGTGTGTGTGTGTGTGTGTGTGTGAGAGAGAGAGAGAGAGAGAGAGAAAGGATTCACCAGAGACAGAGTGAGGAGCAGAACAGAGAGACTGACTGAAATACACTGCTGAGGGGAGCAGCGGGTCAGTCAGGAGAGGTCTGCTGCACCATGTGGGTAGCTCCCTGGCTGGCCGGGAATCAAACTTGTGCTGCAGAGACTGCAGATTGCTTCATAGTGCGGTGCTTAACCCTTGCAACACCAGAGAGGCCCTCTCTTTAGTTCTTTTGTCGTAACAAAGGTCTATAAAACTTGTGTCACCTAGCCTTTGTGAGGGTAAGCTCTTTGAAACACCTCTAGTTCTAGTTTGTATTATATACCATTAATTATTCACAGATAATGGATAAATCTCTGCTGTGTTACTCAACAGTGTTCTTGGTGCTTTTCACACTTAGTGCAGCCAACAGGATGTTGACTTTGATTAAGCAAAATATGAGACAATTTATGTATATTTGTTTTTATATTTATTTACATGTCTATTTTCTAGAAAGCTCTTTTTTTTTTTTTTTTTTGGTGGGACCCTCACTGGTGGCCGGGGATCAAACTGGCGCTGCAGAGGCTGCAGGCAGCCTCGCAACCCAGCGCTCAACCACTGTGCCACCAGGGGAGGCCCAAGCTCATTTCTAAAGAATAAAACTTAATTCCTAGAGCCTGATACAGGGTTTGATTCATAAAATCACTAACAAAGGAACAAATTCATGGCTAAACCATGGTTGCTTATAGACAAGCACCATGAAGGCATCTTTGCCTCCAGCTTCGCCCCAATTGCCTGTCCTGATGAATGGAATCCCACCACTGTGATTCATGCCTCCGTGGCTTTGATTTCCAGTTATTTGATAAAAATGGAAGCTCCCCCTACTGGTGAGGAATGAGGTAGCAACCACAATATATAAAACTTATTACCCAGTATAATTACTCAGGGGTGACATCATTAACTCAATTTCTAATTATGACACAGCAAGAAAGATCATGGGAGAATATTACACAATTAAGTTTAGTTTTGGTAGCATGTGATTCTAAGCAGTAGGTTGGAATGGGTGGAGAGAGCTATGGGTGACCGTAGACATAGCTGAGGAGCGTAGCCACACCAATCTATTATGTTATGAGGAAGTAACACTTCGGGGGAATGGCTTCTGAGATCAGTTTCTAAGCAGTAAAGCAAAATGCTTAGAATAGGGTGCAAGTTCTGTCTTGCTTCCTCTAGGGAACATGAAAGAGGAAACTTATGAAACCTTACTGGGTTGCAGAAGGTGGTCAGGGTGGGTTGAAGAGGCCCCTGTAGATTGGAGAAAGATGTTGGCAGGAGGTGACAGCATTCCTCCTACTTACACATTTCCTAGTTTTTGTACAGAGCCAGCCTGGACTTGGCAGCCTGGCTGCCTGCTAGATTATGTTCTTCTCATGCCCAATGACTGCTCTAACAACAGGGACTTACTTGTTTTATTAAGAGGTTGTGCGGTGATAAAAAGAGCCTGGACTCAGCCATTAGCATGGGTCTCAGTTTGAATGTGGCTCTTGGCGACCATTCCAGTATTGGGCATGACATTTCTCCCTTTTGTCTCAGATTGCACACCAATGAAATGAAAATGGTAACAGACCTCCTGCCCACCTGGATTCATTTTCCTGAGGTGTAAACCCTTGGGAGTGGGTTGGAGAGAAGAAAGGGGGTGTGGGATGTGTGAAAGAGCGATATCCCCTGCATGAATGTGCTTTGCAAAAGTTGTCAAAGAATAACAAACATAAGCTATTAGCGCAAGACCTTTGCTACTGCCACCTTCATGTGGGCAATCTTAGTATGTAGAGACATTCTGGCAACAGTGAAAGACCTCAGTGAGTAGAGTGAAGTAATGACTCCCCAGATTGTGTCCTTCCCCAAACACCACATAAGCAGGAAGCATAGCACCGAGCTCCAAACCTTGCTCTTCAAGTGCTGTCTTACCCAGCTCTCTCTCACCTTACAGGTGGGGTCGATGGAGGCTGGACTTGCTGGTCTTCTTGGGGCCCCTGTGTTCAAGGGAAGAAAATGAGGACCCGAGAATGCAATAACCCGCCTCCTAGTAGGGGCGGGAAGTCATGCATTGGAGAAAGATCAGAAAACAGGCCCTGTGATGATGAAGAGCTGGAGCATTTCCGGTAATGGAGACCAGACTTCCTGGAAGAGGCCAGGAACCCAGGGCCTTTGTCACAGTGGAGCACATGGCTGCTGCTGTTGAGAGATTTACAAATGGCAATTTTTATCAGCAACTGCTTTGCCCTTTAGCACTGGCTCAATTGAAGGAGGGAGGCGTGCTGAGACCAACTTACACTTGTGAGACTCAAGATCTCCTGACCAAAATGTTGGGGGACCTGGAGGCTGAGGGGGCTGAGCTGCAGCTGTGGCTGCCAGCCTATCTCCCACCTGCTTGCTGTGTGGCCTTGGACCAGTTACTTGCCACCCCTCTAAAATTAGGATGATGGCACTAGGCAAAACGATACTAGAATGTTGTCAGAATTACAAGTTAGTCATGCAAAATAATCAGGGTCCAGCACACAGTAAGCATTTGATAATAGTTGTATTACTTTTTCAGATCTGTTATTCCCTCTTACTTATGTTTTGTTTTAAGCACGAAGCCAGTCACTTGAGATACTCTTTTGACTCAGTCCAATTCTTTGACACCAACTTTTTGGGGGGTCAGGACCTACAAAAGTTATCTCAAAAAATGGCTAGTTGATGAATCATTCTCCTGGGTCAGAATTCTTTATGCTGCACCCCAGTGTTTTACACTGATTGGGGATGGGCAGAAAGTTTCAGTAAAATAATTGGAAGTTCACGTGAGTTGACGAACAGTGTTGGATGCTTGTGTATCTGCTAGATACATGGGGACGTGGGATGCCTTTTTCCTGGCTTTTGGTGCAAAATGTCTTTTAAATTGTGCAAGTCCATCTCATTAATTATGTTTCCTCTTCCCTTCAGATTGCTTGAACCACATTGTTTTCCTTTGACTTTGGTCCCAACAGAATTCTGTCCAACACCTCCTGCTTTAAAGGATGGATTTGTCCAAGTGAGTTATGAATGATTTTTTTGCCCTTGACATGTACTTTTTGCTTCATGGTCTCTCTACTGATGTCATAATCTATTTCCTCTTCCCCAATGAAATAGTACTAAAAATATTTTATGTGTCCATTTTAGTTTTAGTGGTGAGGGTTTTAGTTTGTGACTCTTCTTTGGCCCAAAGTGGTTAAAATTCTGCATAAGACAGTATATCTTCTGCAGGAAGGGAAATCAATGATACCTCCCAATGGATTAGAAATGTAGTTATGCTGGAGGGCTGCTAGACCTTTCCATTCTAGCACTAAAATAAAAGAATCTATGAGCAAGTTCTCCCACATAGAGAAGTATCCCTGTTCTTGCCAATGAAAGAAGTCTTTATTTATTGTTCATAAATATGGGATTTGGGGTGAAATATTTAGGGTCATCCAGGAAGCTATTAAGTCATTATACATTTTTCTCATTTAGGGAGGAACACAAATCATCTGCCACTTGTCATTTGGGGAATTTTCTTGGCTTCAGGGTCATATTAATTCATGCTTTTCTCACTCTCTGTGATGATGAGACTTTGACCTCAAGTCCAAGTGACATGTCTTCATAGCTCATAGGAGATATTGCCCATCAAGACTCTATGCTTCTAGCCTGGCTTCTTCCACAAAGGGCTTTACCTCTTAAATTCCAGGTCTTTAAACATACACTCACAGAGAGTTTGCCTAAGTGTCCCCAACTTTAGGTATTGATGGAAGAAGTGTGTGTGTGTGGAGAGAGAGAGAGAGAGTGAATGAGAACAAACCTAGTATATTCAACACAAATACTGTCCCACTAACTGCAGTCACCCCATTCCATGCTGTTCCTCATGGAAGCATGTGCTTGGGGAATGAGAGACCAGATCAACATGATAACTCCCTCCAGGCTCAGACTTCAGATTCCTCCTTGCTGCACCCATGAAGCTTGTCTCCTGTCATTACAGGCTAATGAAATATCCTTGAATCTGTCCTAGCTCAAGGAGCACTTCCCTTACAGGATGAAGTCAGCGAGTGTAGTGGGAGAAGAGAACATTATGCTTCCCCTAAAAGTCATCAGTGAGAAACAAATTTCCTGAACATACTGAGAGGATCTGAACATTTCTGCTCATTTGGTCGTATTTATAAATCAGTGGTATTTATCATGTGAAATTGCCAATGCCATAACACCTTACTCTGAAGGACATATTCAAAATCTGATAGCAAATGTCCTTGTCCTGAAGGCAAAAGGGAAATAAGTTACTTGGACAGTGTCCACTAAAGTGATTATAGTAAAATGCTTAGTACAGTCCCTGGGTTTTTGAGGGTCAATCAATAAATTACAATGCACTGATATTAATGACTATTTCAATTAATGGTGGTGCCAGCGTTGCCACCTTGGACTATACAGGGAAAGTGTTTTTAACGATAGTTTTCTAAATCAGTTGTTTGAATACATGTTGCCTGATTAATTAAAAGATGGCATGACCTATAGGTCCAATATATATATATAAGAAACATTTTGTTAATGCAAAATAGACAGACCCTTCCACTCTCTCTTTTATTTCCATCTAGGATGAAGGTGACATGTTTCCTGTTGGGAAAAACATAATATATACTTGCAATGAAGGATACTATCTTGTTGGAGACCCTGTTGCTAGATGTGGAAATGATTTACAGTGGCTTGTTGGGGAGATGCACTGTCAGAGTGAGTAGCACTGGTTGCAGTATAGAATTTAAGATGAACGGACAATGTAGAGAGAGAGAATGGAGAGAAATAGCTGCTCACCTGCACGTCCCATGTTTTTCACTAGCTCCCCCCACCTTTTTTGAAAGGCTCATGTGATTATGTCCAGGTTGCAGGAGTGCCTTGAAAACATGTTCAACATTCTAGAGTTGATAATGTTCCCATGAAGTGAGCCACATTTTTATTGCAAGTCTAAAGCTTCTGGTACAAATTAGAATAGGACAGAGAGCTCAGTTCAAGCTTGCATCATCAGGATATTTTTCAGAGTTCAATTACTGGAGGGTACTCCAGTCAATCTACTTAAATATTGAGTCATATTCTGTCCAGATGTTGGCATCTGAGTAAATTCTTCTGCATGTTTGTCACCCTGATATCTCTCTCTCTCATCCATCTCCATTGTACTGGAATAGAAGTTCACTCAGCAGATGAGTGGCTAGACAGGACCTTAGGGATATGTCTGTGCTGTGCCAGTGGTCATTGCTATGAGGAAAGCTTCAGCACACATCACATTTTTTTTTCTCTTGGGTTTACCCCTGTTGAAGTCAGAGGGTAGATAGACATTTAGACTTAGATGCTGTCAGTCTTCCAAGGGGTTGTAGAAGCTTCCAGGCAGAATCTGAGAAGTCTGGATGCTGGATCACCTACACTTGATATCTTCTAGCTTTTAAAAAGTGCAGCCATACTGCTGAGTGTGTAGTGATATCTTACTTTATAATTTGTATTTTTGTATTTGTACTTTTCCTGGTCACTAATGGTGTTAATCCTGCTTTAATATATCTATTGGCCTTTTGGATTCTCCATGGTGAATTGGCTGTCCAATCCTTAGCCTGTTTTTTTTTTTATTGGTTTTTCTGTCACTTTCTTTACTGATTTGCAGGATTTCTCCCTCTTTCTCTTTGTCCCCCCCCCCGATTCCCCTTTGCCTGTCCTCCTGGAGCTCTTGCTGAACTTACTGAAATAAAATAGAAATAGTCATTGGCCAAGGGTAAATGTTTATTAAGAGTAATAAGGCCAAAAGTGAGATACTTCTGCTGGAAAGGCTTCTTTTCCTTGATTGTGAAACCACCAATAAAAAATTGCCTCACCTTTTGTTAATCTAAACATGTCTGTTTTTAAAATCTGTGTAAGGAATTTTAGGGTAGCAGCTTTAAACCATTTAAAGATACTCTGTTGCCTTCTAATTGCATTGTTTCCTCGAGAGAAGTCAACTCTCAGTCTTACTATTTCTGTGTTCACATATCTAGCTGCTTTTAAGACTTTTTGGCCTGTATTTTAGCAACATCCCTACTCTGATGTCTGAGTGTGCTTTTATTTGTCTTCATCTTGCTTGATATTCAAAGCACTTCTTGAACCTGTGCATTAATGTCATTTTTCAAATAAGAAAAAAATTTTTTTAAAGATGTATTTATTTATTTATACAAGCACTGGGTACAGTCAGAAGCGTGGGAGGGTGAGAGAATTCACCAGAGTGAGAGCGGGGAACAGAACAGGCAGACTGACGAAATAAACTGCTGAGGGGAGCAGCAGGCGTGGCAGGAGAGGTCTGCGCACCATGTGGGACCCTCGCCGGCAGCTGGGGATCGAACCGGCGCTGCAGAGCCTGTGGGCAGCTTCGCAGCCCAGTGCTCAACCACTGCGCCACCAGGGGAGGCCCAAATAACAAAATTCTTGACCATTGTTTCCTTAAGAGTTGTTTCTGTCCCATTCTTGCTCATCTCCATGCGTCATTTTTAGGGGTACATGTGTGTTCTAATATACTTGCATTCTAATATGTATATCTAGTGTGTGTGTATACACAGCACTTATTGAGTGCCTAAATTGTCAAATATGCTGTGTGCTGCTGTGGATGTATTATGTATTCTAAATTCAAAATGCTAATCTAGCATCATATTTGTTTATGTTGTGATCCATTTGCTGGTTTAACAATATTTCTACTACCAAGATAAATAAAAACACTAGAAAATGAAAAGAAAATATTTCTAAGAATATCAAAGAACTACCAAAAAGCAGTGGAAGTTTGAAGGTCCAAGATTCCAGACAGAAGGGAGATCTAAGGTGGTGATTACATTTGATAATGTCTTTCTCTCTGAAGTATTTGTAAATTTGAAGATAGAAATAAAAATACATATGATGGAAGGAGCTAAACTGAGGAGAAAGCTGCAGAGGCTGAAACACTCAGTAGAGTTTTCAAGCAGTCTCACAAAGCGTGGGGATCAAAAATTAGAATCTAGCCTTGTCACACAGGAAGGGTCTAGGTAGAAATCCCAATCTTTCCCTTAGGAGCCCTCAATGTCTACACCCTGTGATCAAAGGCAAAGTGGATATTAAACCAGCCTCACTTTTTTTCCCTCAAAGATTTATTTATTTATGCGTACAAGAACTGGGGTATGGGCCAGAGGTGTGGGGGTGAGAGGATCCACCAGAGACAGAGTGGGGAGCAGAACAGGCAGACTGGCTGAAATGTACTGCTGAGGGGAGCAGCGGGAGAGGCAGGAGAGGTCTGCTGCGCCATGTGGGTAGCTCCCAGGCCAGCCGCGGGTCAAACCCATGCTGCAGAGTCTGCGGATAGCTTCATAGTGCTGTGCTTAACCCCTTGCGCCACCAGGTAGGACCAACCAGCCTCACTTCTTACCAAAAATGGATTTCTGATGAAAATGGTTCACAAATAGAGCAGTATTTTGTCCAAAGTTCATGACAGAGATTGTGAGATTCTTTTTGTAAAATCATTTCTGACTTGCTTTCCACAACTATGCGTGTTTCTCAATTTTCTCCTTGCCATTTTTTTTTCAAGTACACTTGAGCTAAAAATATAATCAAGAAAGAATAGAGATGGGAAACCAAATAACACTTAACACTTTTATGGTTCCAAAGTCAAATGTGTTATAAGTTTCAGATAACAAAATATCTAATTAGACATGGGCTATTTAATGCTAGGCAATGAAAACATCTCAGAAAAATTTTGCTGGGCTTTACTAGACTAGCGAGGTAAGTGGTAGTTGTGACAAATGTGGTTTTATCAGCTGACTAGACTATTTATGAGGCTTATTTATCTTAAACTGTCCCATTGCTTTGCGCACAGGTGTGGAGGACCTGCTTTGGTCTTTTAGTCACTCATTGCTCATTCACATGCCAGGCACGGTTGGGGGGGTGGGGGGGTGTGGGTGGGTGTGGTAGAAATCTTTCAGGACCCCTGAGGAGCAAGCTCACCTCTTCCTCCTTGTCCTCTAGTGGGAAAGATCCAAGCAAGAATTTTAGTCCCATTCCAGGCTGTCGTCTTTTTTTTTTTTTTTTTAAAGATGGTTAGGAAAGCAATGACCTTTGTGTTCTGCTCTCTTTTACATTTAGAAATTGCCTGTGTGCTACCGGCACTGATGGATGGCCTGCAGGGTCATCCCCACAAGCCTTTATACACAGTTGGCGAGACGGTGACATTGTCTTGTTCAGGTGGCATGTCCTTAGACGGTCCTGCGACATTTCTCTGTGGATCCAGCCTTAAGTGGAGTCCCGAGATGAAGAATGTCCGGTGTGTGCAAAAAGGTGAGCTGCTCCTGGGTCTGTCCAAGGACACGAGCATTCTGGCAAGTGCAAGTCCTTGCTGCAGTCTTTCCTGGCCCCTAACTGTCATGACTGTCTTTCCTGTCATCTATGGCCCACTGGAAGAAGGAGGTCAGCGGGCAGACTGGGTAACAGGCTTTTTCTCACTTGCCACAGATAGACTCAACAAAAGGTGATTCTGAAAATTTAAACTCAAATCCTTCATGTGAAAGTTTAACTTGATCTATGTTATGGTGGTAAGAAACTAAAGGATTTTAAAAAGCTGATTTAGTTTTCTCCTGATTTTTTTAATGGACTTTTTCTAAGTATAGAATTGAGAGCATAATTTATATAAAACTGCATGTTCATTTCTGGGCTCTCAGAGAGTTTATTAATGTTGGGTTGTCAGAAAAGTCATGATGTATTTGTTCTTTGAATGACCTGCACAGATATTTCTAAAATTAAAGAGAAAAATGTACAGTTGATGCAGCTGTTTTTTTTATTGCAAAGGAGATTATATATGTCTTCTGAAATGTCTGCTTCAGTCATTTTATAAGTGCGATGTGTCATGAATTTTCTTTACTCATCAGCAAACTTGAGGACAGTTTTAAATAAGGGTGTTTCTCAGATCTGTGTTTTTGGAAGATGTGGATAACAATAACTACTCTTAAAATAAACCTGTAACAAAAAATTCCAGGTTTGTTGGCCTCCAAAGTTGAGGTCTTAAAATACCTGCTGTATCAGTAGGCTTTTTAAAAAATTGTAAAATATTTTAACATAACATAAAAATCACATTTTAACCATTTTTTAAATGTACAAGTCCATACGCTCCCATAACTGCAACCATCACCACCATCCCCAGCATAATTTCACCTTCCCCAAATAAAGCTCCATATGCATTAAACTCTGCTCCTTTATTTCTCCCTTCCCCATCAATATTTAGTCTTGATGTGAAGACATTTTGTTTTAAAATAGTAAAGGTACGTGCTTTAGGTGACACAAAGAGTTTATTAACCGAGCTGTGAAGCAGCAAAGCTATGTTCTTCAATTTAATTCTATCAGTGAGTTTTCATGAAGTAATTATAAACAGCTACAGAAAACATTTCAAATCTGAAATTTGATCCTTGTGATTAGCAAATGAACTCTTAATCATCATATGGAACTAATTTACATGACTTTATCATTGAATTTTACTTTTAGTATAGTAAGTAAACTTTCCCTACCCCAACACTTTTGGAATTTTGAGCCTGATAATTCTTTTGTTTTTGTTTTTTTTTTTTCAGAGGCAAGTAGAATTTATTCCAGAATGGAGAGTTAGTTAACATCAATTAATGCATTTCATCATATTTACAGAAAAAATAAGTAAAAATCGTATTATATCAATGGATTACAGCAAAAGTATTGAATAAAGTTGAACACCCACTTATTATTATTATATTATTATTATTATTATGCTTTAAAGTTGATCCTTTCATTTTTTTGTTATCTAATTAGGATGAATTAAAAAATAAGCTTTTATTGAGGAAGCACTGGTTTGTAACATTATATGTGATTCCAAGGCATAGGATCATACCTTCTCAGATGCCTGTCACCACATGGGCCAGTAATTCTCATCATGGGGCCTATCCTGTACATTAAGATGTTTATTAGCATCCCTGGTCTCTACCTGCCAGCTGTCAGTATCACCCTCCAGTTGTGACAACCAAATAGACATGGCCAAATGCCCCCTGGAGGCAACAGCACTCCTGATTGAGAAGCACTAATCTAGATAATACTGTTGAAAGCCATTTTATTTTGGAATACCTTTAGATTTTAGAAAAGCTGCAAATATAGTTTCTATATACCCTTTTACATGTTTCATACAATCAGTGTCTACATAACTTGACATGACTTAGTTGGTCAAAACTAAGACAGATGTATTAGTACAATACTATTGACTAATTCACAGACTTTTTTTCATATAGCACCACTTTCCCATTCATGTCCCTTTTATAATACAGCTTTCCAGTCAGAATACTGCTTTGCATTTAGGATAATACCATTTTTAAAGAGACATGTTTAAAGAATGAGTGTCCTTGTTACATTTTTGGACATGGCAGGCAAGCTTCACACGGCTACCTTTTTACAAGTTTCTGAATTGTTCACAAGATTTTACTGTCATGTCTAGACTCCTAAGTTTTCCAATGTGAGGAACTAAAGTTTTACATGCATAAAACATTTTCTTCAAACTGCCATTATAGATATAGCCAATAAACCACTATTTCTATGATGGGAGTGTACGTGTCACCAAATTCACTGTAATGAAACTGGCGGGAAGTAGAGAGAGCAAGGGATGTTCTAGCTTTTTCACTGTAATCAGGCCCAGCCAAGGAAATGGCAGTTATTCGCTCATAAACTGGGCCCAGGTGTTTTCCTGTCAAAATTGAAATGATGGTTGACTTTTCATCAGTTTCTAGAAAACACACAGTGATGGAAAGGAGTTTATCAATACAAGTACCTCCAGACATTGGCTCACTGTTGAGGGGAGACCACTCAGGCATTTACAAGGAAGAGCTTTTTCTAGGTCACCTTGGCATCCCTGGGAGTTCTCCATGTATAGGATAAGTTAGGTTGTTGCTTTCTGTCCCACTAAGGCACAGTGGGCAAAACGCAGCCCAAACAGAGGTTTATAAACATCAAGTTCTTGATGAAGGGAGCGGGCTCGATGGGTCATGGATTCAGATAGAAAAGGACTTAAATCCTCACTCAGTGTTGAATGTTCAAACTCGCACCAGTTTCCTAGCTTTTTGGGGCCTCAGTTTCCTCATTTCTTTAATGGCCACTTGCCCAGGAGGATTAAATATCACAATGTAAAATGTGCAACGAGAAATAGGAAATACTGGCTGTTAAGACCAGTGAGGTGATTTGTAGGGTGTTCCTGGGATCACTATTTCTTATAAAATGCTTTACTTAGTGTTGTGTGTTTTTTTTTTAATTCCACATTCTTGTTGCGGTTGAGACTATTATAGAACCTGGTTCAACAATTAAAATAATAGCTGTTTAACATGAAGAAACTCTTCTGGTAACTGTATCTGTATCTTCCTTTTCCTCTTTATTTAGCCCTGCCTGTGACAGAGTCAGTGCCTGCATGTCAGCCCTGGGAGAAACTGCAAAATTCTAGATGTGTTTGTAAAATGCCCTATGAGTGTGGGTAAGCTCTGTTTTTGCTTACTTCCATTTTACTTAAAGATAAATGGAATGATTTCCTAGTTCCCAGTCACTGTTAGATGGGAGGTGCTGCTTCCCCAACTCTCTTCTAGGCTGCTGTTCTCTACTGATCATTGTTGACTTTGATTTATTTTCATGCCTCTTTCCAATTTTTTGGATTCATTTAGTTTATCTGCAACCTGTTTAGAGATATGGTGTGAGTTTTCATGTAAGATACTAGTGACAAATTAGGTGGCCCTGAGAAGCCTCTACCATTTGAGTTGTTCGATTCTATTTAAAGATTAAATAAACAGGGAAAAAGGATGTTCTTGTTTTGTATATTTAGCTCTTGCTCAGGGAAAAATATAATAGAACTTGTTAAAAGATAAAAATCTGGGGCCTCTCTGGTGGCGCAAGGGGTTAGGATGCAGCACTCTGAAGCTATCCGCAGCCACTGCAGCATGAGTTTGATCCCCAATCAGAGAGCTGACCCACATGGCGCAGCAGATCTCTCCTATCTCTCCCGCTGCTCCCCTCAGCAGTGTATTTCAGTCAGTTCACCTGTTCTGCTCCTCACTCTGTCTCTGGTGAATCCTCTCACCCCCCCCCACCACATCTCTGGCCTGTACACCCCAGTTCTTGTATGCATAAATAAATCTTCAAAATAAGAAAAAAATAAAATCCACAAATTTAGAGATCTTATTGGAGTCACTAAATGATCCATGAATCGAGCAGCCTCCCCTCCAGCAGGATGGGCTCCCGGAAAGGCACTGCAAGAAGTTGTACAAATCAGAAGGTTTTTATACTCAGAAACAGGGTGGGGCAAGCTTAACATAAGACAAGAAATATAATTTCAGGCGGAGTTACGTTCCTTCAGGGGACTGTGGTGTAGAGTCCAGCTACTATGCAAAATTGCGTTGTCTAAAGTTTCACTACAGCAATGCTTTCCTTATCCATCGGCATTCAGAAATGTGTTGTTTATACTAGTGACTTAAAATGTCCGCTTTTCACCATTTTAGCATCAATGTTAAGAAAAACAGTGACAATTTTTAAAGAAATATTTCTAAACTACATTGTAAACATAGATACTTTGAAAAATAACACTGGGGGCCTCCCTCGTGGAGCAAGGGGTTCAGACGCAACCTATGAAGATATCGCAGCACGAGTTCGATCCCTGGATGTCCAGGGAGCAACCCACATGGCGCAGCAGACCTCTCCTGACTTGCTGCTCCCCTCAGCAGTGTATTTCAATTCCAATCTGCCTGTTCTGTTTCCCACTCTGTCTCTGGTGAATCTTCTTACACACACACCCCCCCCCCAATACACACCTCTGGCCTGTACCCCAGTTCTTGAATGCATAAATAAATCTTAAAAAAAAAAAAGAAAAAAAAGAAAAGTAACATTGGAAAATACAGTTGGATCGTCTCTTGACGATTCGGTCACCAGCTGCAGATACTGCTGTGTTTTGAACATAGACTCAGCACTGCTGGGCCAGGAAGAGCTGCCTTCTCCTGCAGTCACAGCCTGTGGTCCCATCCTGCATGATTTTTGCTGATTTTCTCTCTTTCCTTGTCAACCTACCAGCTGTTGCTTGCAAAACTTTCCTCCCCTTCTGACTTGCTGTGTCCGATTTGTTCTAGATGAAACCAGACACACTAGACATGTAGGTTTATGAAATGTAAGTAAACAAAGAACAAAATAGTTCATTTTGAAGACTAGAGGGGGCTGGGCCCTAATCATCAAGAGGACCTGCTTTTCTGCTTCATTTTTTTTCTGTGAGTAGTGCTAAAAACCAAAATTTACAAATAATAGAAGTCTAATTGGCATCACAAAATGATCAAGCAACATTCTAGATACTCTGAGGGGGTTACACAAAATGGAGGGTATTTATAGACACAAAGAGGGTAGGGTAAAGCTGTTATAGGACAGGGAGAGGGGCAGCCCAAACCCCGCAAACCTGCCTATTCTAAATGGGTTCTGCCATCCGCTACATCAACACAAAACATATGAGACTTTAATGAAAAGGAACATCAGTACAATTAGTAAACAGTACAGGAAAGGCAAAGAGTCTTGTTTCTAAATGAAGCACCCAAAGTTACCCGTCCCCTCGTAGGTAAAAGTCCATCCATATGGGATCGGCCCAGAACAAGGCCCCAAAGCTTGCCACAAGTCTAAAGCATCTTCCAGTGGGGACCCACAGAAAAGGGTCAGAAACAACCAGCCAAGCCCAGAAGGAAAAGAGCAAAATCAACATCAAGATAAAAGCTGCCATTGTCACCTCCCCACGGGTCTCACCCACATCTGTGTCACCCAGTCCACGACCAAAAAGACAAGTGCAGTTTCTTCACATGTCTCTAGGCTCCATGCGCCTCCTCCAGGTCTCCTGGCTCTATCCTGCTTCCTACCTCAGTCTCCTCTGCATCCTCTTCTCTTCCTGCTCAGCTCTACCCTCCCTTGGGTGGGACAGGGAACCTGGAACCTCCCCCTTTCCTGGGGACCACCCTGTTACAAAGCTATTAGCAAAAGAAAAGATTATTTCAGGAAAAGAAACTTCCCTCAGGGGAAGTCAGAGGAGTCTTATGCAGATGACCTCACAGGTGCTGACAGGAAACTGCATGTTTGTTAGTTTAGCATGACACTTTGGGGAAAGGTTGAAACTACAGTGAGATTAGTTATTAAGTGCTTATGTTGGGGATATAGGGTTTGGCACGAAGGATTCCGTTTTGCTTTTTCCTCTTTTTTCCTTTTTTTTAAGATTTATTTATTTATTTATACAAGAATCGGGGTACAGGCCAGATGCGAGAGAGGGTGAGAGGATCCACCAGAGACAGAGTGGGGAACAGAACAGGCAGACTGACTGAAATACACTGCTGAGGGGAGCAGCGGGCAGCAGGAGAGGTCTGTCACACCATGTGGGACCCTCGCCAGCCAGCGGCCAGGATAGAACCGACACTGCAGAGGCTGCAGACAGCTCCACCTCACTGTGCTCAACCTCCTGTGCCACCAGGGGAGGCCCCCCCTTTTTTTTTTTTTTATAGTGGCCACACCTGAGTCTGAGCATGGACCTTCCCCTTTCCTTTCTCATTTTCAGTTTTTAAGAACGAAAATCCTGTAACTAACATAATTTAAAAAATTCTTTTCAGATCTTCCTTGGGTGTATGTACTCGAGATGAGAAAAGCAAGAGGATACTGCCTCTGACGGTTTGCAAGATGCACGTTCTCCACTGTCAGGGTAGAAATTACACTCTCACTAGAGAGCGCTGTACTCTGCCTGCCTCAGACAAGAAAGCTTGTGGTGTGTGTCCCCTCTGGGGGAAATGTGATGGTAAGGGCCAGCTCATCTTTTGACCATAAGAATTTTCAGTCTAAAATTTTAGGGGGCAATTCCAAAGATAAAGTGGTTCTGAGGATCAAAGAATGTAATTTGGGGTACACAGATGTGGGTCGAAACCTACATAACTAAGGGGGTAGGGCTAGAGGCAGAACCAAGTCACTGCCCTCAGTTCCCCATCTGTAAATGTGGGAGCCGGACCCTCCCCCTCATGGTCTGTACCTGTCAGGCCCCTTCCCCTAAATCCCTCATGGTTTATAACAAACCATGTTCTGGGTTAATTTTGGCCTCATCACAGCCAGCTGGCGGACCTTGTCACTCTTCTCTAGAGACACCTGGCTGCTCAGCCTCGAAGCTTAGGAATGCTCATTGCTTTCCTCCCTGTCTCATTTCTGATTTGTTTTTATGGGCTATTTGGCCTTTAGTGTTCTGTAGGGGATCAAAACTGCCACCCCCAAATATATCTGTTGTACAAAAGGTTGATTTCATGGGTTGCTGTGAAGGGTGGATGGAAGCTGTTTTTTAAAAAGACCTTTACACGTAAACTTCTCTCAGTAAGGGTGTCTCTCTGAGATCACTGGGAAGACCTTTTCTCCTTAACTCTTTTCAAGGGAGGAGGCAGCCTTTACATCTGCATGGAAGTCAGTCATCGTCTGCCCTGCCTTCCCTGCTAATGCACTTAACTGACCTCCCTCTTCACCCCACAAGATCCTTCTGTCTTAGGTATTTCAGATGGCATCTGAAGCCTTAACTCAGTCATACTGGGTCTCTCCTAGACACACAGGGGGTCTACATGCTATTAAACTCTGTGACTTTTTCCTCTTATCAGTGTGTCTGATTGTTTGATTATTTGCCAGCCTAGAAGAGCCTAAGGGGGAGGGGTCCATGATGATTTCCTTTTTTGCCCTGAGTTTCCTGCCTCCTCTTTCAATGCAAGTTTCAGTCTTTGTTTCTTTGTCTCTGTTCTGAGCCTGCTCATTCTGCTATTAGCTAAGGTTCTTGAAGCTTTACACTTGATTTCTGGCTCCCCTGGATGGCAGTCAGGCAGAGGGCTGGAGTTCGCAGAGATACCACCTCACTTGGACCAAGAGATAGAAAACCTGACCCCAGCCTCAACATCCGTTTATTCTGATTGGAACAAAATGCCTCACTTCCCACTTCTAGGATTTTCTTTCTATAGCTCTCTAGTTACTACACAGTGACTTTGGAGATGTTGTGGGGCAGGGTTGCCTGCTCCCCTCCCCCAACCCCCTCAAATTTTCTGTGCTTCCTTTTTCCTGGGCTTCCTGGCATTTGCTCTCATGTCGTCTAGTGGGCTTGCCTCTTCCATAGTCACGCAGCTCGTCCTCTCCTGAGGTGCGTCTCTGGGTGACGCCACCCTTATATCCCCTCCTCTAAGCTCACGTGTGCACACTCACGCATGCCCACACCATGCTCCAGGCGTCCACAGTCAGGCCGTGTGCCCCGCGCCCACGATCCCAAGCGCCTTCTGCATCAACACGATCAAGGCCATCAGGTGATAGCCATACAGGCTAGTGGTGCAAAAAGCCTGATTAATTCACTCACCTTACAGGAGGTGAGGTGCTTTGTTCTACCACCACAAGGCGCCTCTGAGCATCCATCTTGCTTGTTTTTCCAGCCCAGAGTGGCCAATGTGTCTGCAGAGAAGCCTCGGAGTGCGAGGAAGAAGGACTTCAAGTGTGTGTAGCAGTGGATGGCAGAGAACGGACGATGACAGAGTGTGGAGCTGGCACCCTCAGGTGCCGAGGACAGAGCATCTCAGTCACCAGCCTCAGGCCCTGTGGCGCCCAAGCCCACTAGGCAACAGGGCGCTGGTAATAGGCTTTGTGGGAATCTCCAAGCCTGCTGTGGCTGAGTTAAAGCATCTGCATTACCCATACTTGACTTCTGCATAGACACGTTCTTTCTCCTTCCCCTCGGGTGCCCACTTCTGCACTCAGCTCCAGTCATTGTATAAACACAACCTGTGTTCACCCAAACCCGAATCCAGGTGGGCTTTTGTCTCCTTTTTAAAAATCTCAGGATGAGGAATATTCACGAGCCTTTGCATGAGCTAGCTGTGTGCGCTTGGAAAAATTGCTAACTTCCCTGGGCCTTGAGTTTTTTGTCTGAAAATTAAAGAATTAAACTCAAATGTGTCTGCAGAGAAGCCTCAGCCCTACGGTATTATTAAGTTTGATTGACCCCATCTGTGGTCCAGAACACTTTCTACAACTTGATTAAGAAAACCAAGATTAGAGAGGTTTCCCTCAGTGCCATGAATAAAAGGAAACTTTGAATGGAAAAAGGCAGATACAATTATTCCATCCCAAGTAGCAATCTCTTGCTTCATCCTGTTGACTCAAGCACCACATGTTGGGGTCCCTAATCCTGTAGGAGACTGAAGCACTGAATGTCAGAGTGAAATTCATCACACTATGGCCACGGGGGTCTCCTTCCTTCTTGTCTGAGAACAAATACAATTCAGACGTCCCTTTGGGGCTTTTCTTCTGAATATGTCAAACACAAGGCCTCAGTTTGGCACACTCCTCCCCTTTCCTTTTGTAGGACCCATCATTCATGCCTGAGCTATTTGGTGATTGTGTATTTGAGAGAGCAATTTTCTCTAACATGGATACATGCTTGGATTGTTCAGGGGGGTATACAGGTAGATCAGTTTGAAGCATTGGCCTTCTGTTTATTTCTTATTCATCTTTCATCAAAGCAAAAAAGCTGTGGGAGGTGAAATGAATGGGCTTAAATGGAATTTAAAATATGCTTTTATTACAAACAGTTATCTGTATTTTTCTGATACTGATAAATACATTTCAACAGAACTGTGGTTAAAATGACAATGATTAAGAAACTCATTAGAGATACTATCCTTTAGAAGTTTTTGATCTGTATTATGTTTAATTTTAAAGGATTTTTCAATGAAGAGTGAATGTGTTCTTTTAAAAATATTTTAATTTTTTAAACCACTTTACATGATTGACATGTAAAAATTAACATATTTAATATATACAACTCCGAGTTTGGGGTTAAGAATACTCTTAAAAACCATCGTCATCATCAAGGTCTTAGACATATCCATTATCTCCCCAAAGTTTTCTTCTACTCCCTTTTCTATTACTTGTGTGTGTGTGCGTTAACATGAGATCTTTCCTCTTAGAAAAATTTATGTGTATATTACCATATTGTTAGCTCTAGGCACTGTGCATAATAACAATTGACACCCTCTACCCATCATGTCCCCCGATTTTTCCTCCCCCCCAGTCTCCTTGGCAACCACCATTCTACTCTACTTCTATGAGCTTGACTATTTGAGATTCCGCATATAAGAATACAGTCTTTTTTTTTTTTTTTTAAAGATTTATTTTTATGTATGTATGTATGTATGTATGCAAGCACTGGGTACAGTCAGAAGGGCGGGAGGGTGAGAGAATTCACCAGAGCCAGAGTGGGGAGCAGAGCAGGCAGAAGGACCAAAGTACACTGCTGAGGGGAGCAGCGGGCGGCAGGAGAGGTCTGCGCGCCATGTGGGACCCTCCTCCGGTGGCCGGGGAGCAGCCGGGGATCGAACCGGCACCGCAGAGGCCGCGGGCAGCTTCGCAACCCAGTGCTCAACCGCTGCGCCACTGGGGAGGCCCAAGAATACAGTCTTTAGCTGGTCTATTTCACATAACATAGTATCTTCCAGGTTCATTCATGTTATCACAAATAGTGGAATTTCCTTTTTCATGGCTGAATAGTTTTTCATTTTGTGTGTATACCACATTTCCTTTGTCCATTGGCCTCAGTATGGATATTTAGAGTGTTTTCATATCTTGGCTATTATGAAAATACTGCAATGAAGAGGGAACTACAGGTATCTCCTCCAGATCCTGATTTCATTTCTTTGAGATATTGTTGTGCAACCATCCCAGTCCGGGTAGGTGCACCATCAGTTCTAACACTTTAAAAAAGAATTTTGGAGCCCTCGGCATCATCTTCACAGGTTTTACTGGTAAGCGGGGGAATCAATTCAGCAGGGAGACAGCAACTTGAGCCCCCACCTCAGGGGGATGCCACCTTTTTATCTCCACCCTCCCAGGCACAGGTGTGCACACTTGAACATGCATACACACACACCCATGCCCCATGTCCATAATCAGGAATTTGCACCCCACACCCATGGAGCCTTCTGCATTAATACGATCAAGGCCACAGGTGATAGCCACGGAGGCTAGTAGCGTAAAAAAGCCTGATTAATTCATTTACCCTACAGATATATAGCCAGAAGTGGGAATGCTGGATCATATGGTAATTCTATTTTAATTTTTTGAGGAACCTCCTTACTGCTTTCCATAATGTACCAATGTGTTCTTACCCAAAATTTTGTGTCTGATCTAGGTCCAGCATTTTACGCCAAACTGTCCTTTAAGTGAAGATTCATGTACATACAGAAGTTACAAGGAGGCAGACTTAAATTTATTGACAACTATGACATTAGGACAATGTTTCATTGAGACCAATTGCATTTATTAGAAGTTATTATGGAGTTAATTTCTACTGTGGTTAGAGGGATAGATTTGAAAATGCCAGGCCTGGATGCAGATCCTGAAACCAAAACTTGACTACTTTATTTGGGAAGAGATGTATTAGTATCTTTCTAATAATGTTTTCCTCTTTAGTTAGGATGGAGTAGCTGTTTACTAGCTCCTTTCCTAATACAATGTGGTTAGTACTTTCAAATGCTGTGGGAGAGTGAAGTCTGAAAAAAAAAAAAAACAACAAAAACTAGCAAATATGACAACTCAACTATTTGAGAAAGAAATTCCAGCAGTTAGTGAAGAGGAAACAGGGGTTAATAAATTGGTGGCGAAATGGGGAGCAGTTAAGTTGATGTTGCAGAGAGATGCTGTCTTGCTTATTAAATTTCATGCCTTCTTTTCTTTTCTGAACATCCTCATACTTGACCTTTCTTCTAGTCAGGCAGAGCCATTCACAGGTTTTCTATAACAGTAAGCGTTGTTGCAGCTGGTGTGCGAGGAGAAAGCAACTTTCAATATTAAGTCTTTAATGTGTTTTGAAACTTCCAAAATAAACGCTTGAAGATTGAAAGAGAAGGCTTTGAGGGAAGATAAGAGGATTATGATGGCACAAAAATTGATTGCAAAGAGAATAGAAATAGAAGGGATGGGAGAATTCCCCACTGTCTGCTGGTCCCTCGGCCGCAGACCAGGTGAGGGTCACCTGAGATAGAATGTGATGTAGCCTTGAAGGAGGAGGTAGAAAGTGCTGAGACTAAAGTCATCTTGACCTGGGGTGGGGGTCAGAAGGCAGGAGGGCATTTCCTGGTACATTAAGTATCATGACCTTTGCAGAGCAACGTGGGGGCCATACCGCATCCTGCAGACCCTCATTCAAGATTCCTGTGGAGTCTTCAAGATACCTGGGCACAAAGCTGCTTCGGAAGGTCTCCAAATTGCATTTTAGGGGGCCTGCTTGTGACACTCCACATCTTTCCTAATAACTGACAGCAGAAGTATTGACAGCAGATGCCCTGAGATTTGGGAAGCCCCATCCGATCTGCTCTGCCTGGAACCTCTCTTCCCAGAACCAACAGTCCAGGACACTTTTAAGCACCTCGAAACAGGGAATGTTCTTGATATTCAGATAGGGTCTGGTAGGGGTGTGGAGTGGCAGGCAGGAATCTCGGACCAAAGACCTCTGGAACTATGACTTACCTAGCAACAGGACAGACAATTGGCTAATTTGAGAACTCCCCAACTCAGCTGCGCCGCTCGTGACTGAGTTCAAGTGCATGTGGGACTTGTGAACTCTTGTTGTTAAGTAGTTTGCGCAGAGCTTCAGGGGCTAGGGAATGCACCCAGCATTCCCTGTAACAGTTTGTTGTGTGCTCACACAAATTGTCAATCACTTTCCTTTTGGTTGAGATAAATACTTTTCAACCTCATGGTTTATCATCAGTTTTATCTTTTTCTAAATATTCTATTTCTTACACCCACATTCACACACACATATTAGTCTGCCATGGGCATTTGGATTATTTGTAAGATGAGCGTCACAGCTAGTGGAGATGGCTTGAAAGATAAGCTAAGAAAAGTTAAGATGCTGCGTACTTTGTATGGGGGCATGATGAAAAGGATGTATGGGTTTGTCAGCTGCTTTTCCTCTGAGGGAGGAAAGAGAGGGAGGGGAGAGACAGAGAAAAGGGGAAGGGAAGATAGGGGGAGGGAGGGGGTAAGTGGGGAGGGAGGGTTTGGACCATTCTTAGTACAGGGCTAGCAGAACCGAGCAGACCAGTAGTCCTGCTATCCACCGACCAGTCCACTGAGAATTTTTTCCCCTGATGGACTAAGCTGTAGTCAATGCTTGGAATGGCTTGTTCAGAACACTGAGCCAGAAAGCAACTGCAAGAGGAGGCAATTTCCGTTAATATCTGAGAAGTCAGAGGGATATGCAAGCCTTTCAATTACTTTGGTCTTTCAGGCAGTTCACGCATTTGGGGACAAATAAGAAAGCTGATGGCATGATAGGAGTCCCTGCTGTGACAACCAAAGCACCTACAAATTTGTCTTTTTATTTATTCCCATCAGATTTAAAGCTATAGATTTACACTCAAAACAGCAATCATGTGGGGAAGTGTGGTTTTTCAGCCAAGGGTTAACAAGGCCAGATGGAAACACTGTTGTTGTTTTAGAAAGTGTAGGCTGGAGGTTGAAAATGTGGGCAGGAGAAGAACAGAGAATTATTCTCTCTAATTCACAGGATGAGGACAATTTCCTGTGAAAGGACAAACATAAAGAGCTTCGCTCTGTTATCACTGTTTTTTCCATGCATCTCTAGAAAGGAGACAGATACAGAATTCCAGGGGAGGGGACTTAGGTATTTAACAGAACTATGATGTTCAAGACAGAAGCATTGGCTGGAAGAAGAAAGCTTATGTGATGTCAAACGAGTGTCCATTATGAAATAATCAGCAGACCAAATTGGCTGGGAACACAGAGTGCAAAGGAATTTTCTGTAATAGTAACATGAAATTTTCTCATCAAAGGAAAGTTTTGTCTGACATCCTTGTTTTGAGTACAAATCTGTAGCTTTGCCTGACAGGAATAAAATGATGAATATGAAAAGCTCAGGGCTTGCATATTATTAAATCATATACAACCCAGATGTGCATTATGACAATATTTGATAAAGGAGCATGATTGGATTCTATGTCCAGAAATTCCCCTACATAAATATTGAACAAGAGAAATTGCTGTAGTCAGGTGTGATGCAAAGCTAGTTAAAAAACTGGATGATCATCACCTAATAAAATTAAATAGCTATGGGATAATGATGAGGCATCTTCCAAAGTACCTTTCATCTCTTAAAAATGTAATGGTTGACTGTTTACATGGACATGGTGCACAGTTTTGTTACTGAGCAATGGGCTTGCTGCCTAATGTTATTAGAAGTCAATTCTATGACACTGACTTTGAGAAAAATGTTTATTAAGAGTTGACAAGTAAGGAAACAGGAGTCAAGGTTTAAATCTGTCTCCCTGAGTTTTGTCATTCATTATTAGAGCCTTTGCTCTTTAACCCTCCTTATCTCTTGATAAAGCCAGTTGTGATAGTCCCACAGGCTTTATTCTAACCTCTACATGACAGATTGGGAAACTGACATCCCACAATCCTTGCCCCAGGCCTGTTAACCCCACCTACATGCCTGGTACATTCTCATGATCTCAACCCTGAGCACAGCCTCTGTGTTTCGGATGTGGGGTTGAAGTTTCCCAAGTCTACTGCTTGGGGGTGTCTGCTCCTAAGATTCTGCTGCTTGCTGGAGCAGAGAAGTTGCTGGGTGTCCTGCACTGCTGGTTCACAGT